CCCCCCCTTCATGGAATATGTGCTGTGTCTGAAACAAAAAGACAGAAGTGCTCCTAAGCTACTGTACAGTATTAACCTTTTTTTTCTTTTTTCTAAAGTGTACAGTATGGGTTGTTGTAGGTCACAAGCACCAATGCGCCTTTTTTTTTTAGTGTATTTTTTGACAAGGTTTTGGAGAGGTAGGGGCTATCGCACCCACGTTATTGTAGACAAAAAACAAACAAGAAAAAAACTTCCGCGGTAAACCTGCACAAAACGGAGCCAAAACAAGGGATCGATCTGAAAGACCGAACATTTGGTTGTTTAGCTTTTTCCGGAGAGGACTGAAGACACAATATTCACACTCTTACTATTTGTTTTTCTCTAAAAGTCGGGCTTGTTGGGTATGGGGAAGGAACACATCAAAACCAGGTTGCAATATATCTCGAGACTTATTTTATAAATAAGAAAAAAAACATGGATGAACTGTCTTTTATATATAGATATATTATTTAATTTTATTTTTTTGGAAATAAAACTTGAAGCTACAGGAGTTATTAGATAAAAAATGTTTTGTTTTCTATTAAAGGTGTTATGGTGATGCAAAAAGACACTGCAGACAGTTATTGGATTTGCCCTGGAGAGGCTGTGGAGTTCATTCTACCATCCTTTTGATGAGATGTTTTATGTACATGAATAAAGTTGTATACATATTGAATCACTGTACAAACAGATGGCAACTGAACAAATTTTTGTCAATTTCTTTTCCTAAAGAGAGACTGGAAATAAGATATTTAAATTTGTTTAGTATTCAAATGGAATCGCTGACCACTCATTTTTTTTTCTCCTTTTCTTCCTCTTAACAATTTTGGTGCTTGCTGAGAGAAAGCAAAAATAACTGTTGCTCAATTTTTTTTAAGTTATTTTGGTGGTCTGATTGTTTTTTGCCAATAAATTAATTGTACAATAAAGTATGTTTGTACTATTGGGGAAAAAATTGCTTTCTTCTTTGCCACAACTATCACATCGGTTTGTCAGCTAGATAAGTAACAATTTATGTAGAAATCCATAAATGCAATGGATTAAAGGGCAAATATAGAAAAAACATGGTCTAAAATAGTTTCCCGTTTCTTTTATGATCTGACCATTTTGTTTCTTACAAAATGTTTCTAAAAAAAGCTGAAGCAGTTTTGAATCCAGTAGAAAGTACAGAAATTGACATTTTTCAAATACATCAAATGTGTGAAAGTTAAGAAAATTTTAAATTTCAACCTCAGACTCTTAGTTTGGAGTTGCCAATAAATTAATAAATTAACTCTGATAAATAACTTGTCAGTGGGTCTCATGACTGCATCTACCTATAACTTCTAGCTGGTTAATGTACTCGAAAGTGCATCAAAGAACATGCAGTGGATTTTTCCATTTTCGGTATTTCAGATCACCGATAGCTGCTCACTCACTCCACCTCGATAAAAGATGGTCGCCAAAGTCATAGTAAACATGTGCAACATTTATTTTCGTGTTACCCAACAAGCAGTCGAAACACGACAACACTTGATAGACTGGAGCAGGTAATGTGCGGATTCACATCGCGGTACTTCTGCGCTCGGTGGTGGACAGATGCGGCGCAAGCGACAACAAGAGGCAACAGTAAGCCCTGTAGGGGGCGCTTGTTCTATCACAACAGTACAGTTTCTCTGGAAATGGAATCTGGTTATAACAAACTGTATAAAACAAACATGTGCAGTTATATGCAGGACCCATATGCAATAAATATACATTCAGGTCAATGTAGAAAAATGACTAGAAAAATGTAGTTCTGCTTACGGTCCAACCAGGCGGTCTCCAGGCAACCATTTCTGTCTTACATCAGTGGAGAGGAGAAAAATAAAACACTGGTAGTAATTAGTCATGTGGAGAGATAATATTCTTAAAAGCTCCACAGTTACATCAAAACAAACAGTGCAGCGGTAGGCACTTTCATTTTCACTGATAAACAGTTCATCAGCAGCAGCACGACATCATCTCGGATCCTGCGTTCACAGAGTCTGGCTAAAGCTACTGGGTCATTATATGTGCAGTGCCTCACAACCCTGGATCTCTTTAACACTTTGTCACATTACAGTCATAAACATCAGTGTATTTTAATAGTTTTTCATATAATAGACCAACACTAAGTAGTGTATTCGTAGATTGTTCTGGAACAAATCTTGAGAAGCTGAGTTCATGCAGAGATTTCCACATATGCATGACTCTGTGAACTCAAAGTGCCTTCTGAGTTTATTTATAGGTAGCAAAGTAAATGGGGCTGATTTCAAATGCACACAGTTCTGTAGGCCTGAAGCAATTCATCGGTAGTAATTGTCAACTAATTTATTAATCGATTTATTAGACTCAAACAGCGGTCAATTGCTGAAAGAACAACATATTCAGTGCAGTAATTAAGCTAAAAAATATATAACTTTTACATTTAAGATAAAAAAAACCCAACTTTTGTCTATAAATATGTTCTACACAGAACTCCAGTAGTATAGTCTTAGCTTTGCCTGATCCAAGTGTTTTGTAATACAATTTATTGAGCACATTTTAATTAATCATTTAATCCAAAAACTCGTCAACAAATCAGCTTTACACTGTATTGATATTAAGTGAAGCAGAAATGGCTGAGCTTTTCACTTTACTGTTAGAAACATTGTTTTGCTGCAGGTGCATCTATGCTACAAATGATCTAAAAGAATGCATTTTAAGCAATAAAATGTTTAATTTCTCATTTAGAAATGGAACTGAACTATTTGTTTATTTGCATCTTTTAATGCATTTTTGATATTGTACAAAAAAAATCCTTAAGTGGTTTAAAAAAAAACCTTGTAGAATGTAGCGATGGTTTAGTCAGATTAATCGATTAATCATCAGAATAATCAGTTACTAAAATGGTAGTTATTTGCAATCCTACCATTCTGTCAGATAAAAACCTCAGTAGAATACGGTGGAGATCCTGGTTGTGACGTGACAAAGCGTGAAAAAACTCAAGGGGTGTGAATACTTTTGAACATTTTTTTTTTGGTGTTTAGAATAAAGGTCAGAATTGTTTCTGTTTGTGTTTTTTTATTATCTAAAACAGCAGATAAAACCAAATACATGAGCCTGGTAACGTTACACAATCGTTGTAATGTTGAGATTCTGAAACTCTGAAACTGTAATGAAAGTTTCTGGTCAAGCTCTGATGGACACACACCAGTGTGACTGTGTTTAACATTCTGTCATCTAGTTTCAGAGTTCGGTCCGTTTGTGCCTTCTGCTTTATGTTGTCATGACGTAGAGCTGGGTGGTTGAGAGAAACTACGCTGTGTGTGTTTGAACTAGAGGAGAGAGGCATGCGGGCGGATCAAATCGTCTCTCAGTAGACTCTGAAACACTACAAAACCAGATTAGGTAGTTTGAAGTATGTACAACATGTCTGAGTCCAGGATAACGCCTGGTTAGATTAGGGTAGAAGAGAGGAACCGGTGGCTGTGTTTACATGCACAGAGGACTCCTCTTCTTCACATGGACTCACCCAGATCCCTTCTAGTTTGTCATCAGAGCTCTGATTCATTCTGATATGTTAGAAAGTGCATTTCCTCGCCTTATGTCTAAAATGGCTGCATTTTATGCTAATATTTTGCTATGAATTACACAATTCCACATGAGAAAATATTCTTTCAAAATAAGTTGGATTGGGTATTAAATGTTCAATTAATCAAGTATGTTGATCGTTATGTAAAGAAATACAAATATAGCACCTAGCTAGCTGTTAAAAAGTTAGCTAGGTGCTAGCTGATGAGTTTTCCTCCTCATCAGCTCTGCGTTAGCATCAGATAGCTAATGGGTCCTTGAGGTTGTTGTGGTGTTAAATTTGACACACTTTACTGTTAGGTACAGAATCTTAAACCATGGAGGGGGAAAGTAAAACGAACACAACTCTGGAGTTTGGTTACATTTAGACCCTGAGGGTTCTCAGTTCACAGGAGATACAAAAACATTGTTTTGGTTAAAATTCCCTCTTCTGACTACATCTTTCTCTGGTACAAGCCGATTCTTTCTCCATGTTCTAGGTAACTGCAACCAGCATGACAGTAACAGTTTGATCTGCTTTGATTAGTGGATGTGGGAGAACCCTCCCTGCGATGGACTGGTGACCTGTCTGGTGTGTACTTGATGTTGACAGCTGAGGAAAGGCATCAGCACCCCTCCTGACCCCGATAAGGGTGTAAAAAAATGGATGGATGGATGGATGGATGGATGGATGGATGGATGGATGGATGGATGGATGGATGGATGGATGGATGGATGGATGGATGGAGAACCTCCATGACAGAAAGAAAATGTCACAAGCTAAATGAAGCAACCCTTTTGGACACCAATGTTTTCTGGATTGAGCAAAAACAATAAAACTATTTCATCTGGTCAAGAAGTCTGTATGTTTTCATGAGTAAAGAGGTTTTATTGCTGGAAATTACTATCCACCAGCATAAACAGAAATGTGTTATTTAAAATGTTTTTTTTTTACGTGTTATGATTCACTGGAATGAAGAAAACCTTTAAGCCAATCACCAGCTGCAATCAGCTGTCTTTGCTTGTGTCATTTCCTTCCTGTCAGCTAGAAGAACTCCGATGTATTCCACTTAAAGTGACCAGATCAACCATACATTGCAAAAATATTCATACATTTTGAAGATTTCCAGCTTTTGGTCATGTTTAAACCATAACTCTTGTGCTTTATTACAATTTTACAAGAGAGACCAACACAGGGTGGAGCATAATTGTGAAGGGAAAAGTAAATCATGGTTTCAACACTCTTACTTGTTGAAATCTGGAAAGCGTTTTCTACCAGAACCTGCATCATATATTATGATGTGATGTTACGTTTCATAATAAATGAACTGACAAAATGAAAGTGCGGACACAGCATTTCTTTAAGTCTTGTGCTTTTCTGCTGCACACTGACGACAATGTTTGTAGAGTTTTCCTCTGAACACTTTCTAAAAACCCGCCAAATGTTCCGCGAAGCAGCTCAGACTTTAACAGCCCGCCCCAAGCTGCTTTTTACAGCCCCAAAAAAGAAAACCCGTCTAATCTGGCAACACTGTTAGGGGTGTTGTAGTGAATTCAAAATGGATGCCACACTAAGATTTAGACTTTTAATTGTAAAAAATGTTGATAACCAGACCTGATTGTCTTTTGATTTTCTATGTCTACCCTGTGTGTTGGTCTGTCTCATTAAATCCAAATATTACACAGTGTCGTCTACAGTTGTGACATGACGAAAAGTGGCAAGTGCAAGGGGTGTGAATACTTTTGTAAGGCACTGCTGACTCTGTGCATATAAACCAAGCGGCTCCAGCAGCGTGTCAGAGTCAGTGCCTCCAGCAGCTCCGAGGGGCCCCATCACCAACCTGCTCCCACACCTCCAGGCCCCAGTCCTGGAAGAATCCTCTGGCTGCTCTGGACTCCCTGAAGGTCACTGTAAGGGCGTTGAGGGTGACGTCTGTGACCGTCACCTCTCCTGGGCACACCAGGGGTCGCCACAGTTTGTCTGACGTGTCCACGCCGCCTGACCCCACTGCTGTGCTCCAGTTATCTAGGCCCCTGTGTCCTAAAGGAAAGGTCAAGGGTCAAACAGAAGATGAATGAAACTCGTATATTTGCATCATTTTTGGATAACATGTAGCATATGATAACAGAGAAAGCTATGCAACGTGAGGAAAACTGATAAAGGTTTTTATTTAAATGTGAATAGAAAAACGTGCCTTTAAAACAGCAGTATGTAATTTTTTTTAAATATATTTTTTTAAATACTTGTTGAAACTGTCACTATGTCTTGACTGAGAAAATCTGTGAAAAAAAATGGAGCTACTCTGCCTTCTTCTAGTGCTAACTAGAAACAACCAATCGGGAGGCGGGTCTTAGCGCTGTCAATCATCATCCATGCCGCCCGATTCGCTGCAGCTAACAAAGCCTGTTAGGAATACTAAGGTTAGTCAGTAGGACGGAGGATAAAGTGTTTTGCTGGATTGGTGAGATGTTTCTCCATCACTAGCATATTTAGCAGCGAGGTTGATTGACAGCGCTAAGCCCCTCCTTCTGGCTGTGATTGGTTGTTTTTGGTTGGGAGCGGTGAATTTCTTCAGACAGCAATAATAACTGTGAGGAGGAGGGGATCGTTCTTTTCACAGATTATCTGTCTCATATTACCCTGCCAAAACATGCTGACAGTTTAAAAAAAAATTTAAATAAAAGTTACATCTTGCAGCTTTAATGAGCCTCTGGAGGATTGGTTCTATAATCAGCTCAGGATGACGCAAGGCGTTGGCCGTATGCCCAGAAAACAAGCCAAACTGGGACAAGACTGGTTGGATTAAACTCTCTGACCAAGTGACACACATACCGTTAAAAACACCTTCTCCCATCTTAGCCTCCTCTTTCTCCTTCTGGCTGTGATTGGTTGTTTTTGGTTGGGAGAGGTGTTCACTATCCTCTGCGCTGTTCTTCTCCTCTTCCTCCTCTTCTTCTTCTTCCTCCTCCTCCTCTTCCTCATCTTCCTCCTCCTCCTCCCAGGCCTCTTGTGAGGGTCTCTGGAGGTTTAAGCTAAGTCGTCTGCTCTGCTTGCTCTTTCGATGCGTTGCTTGCCTTCGAGAAGGAACGCAGGCGTCTTCCTCATCCTCATCCTCATCCTCATCCTCCTCATCGTCAGGAACCAGGGAGCGCGTCAGAGAGAGACGCAGGCGAGGGGGAGGCTTGGCGGGAATCTTGTGAGCGCTGCGGAGATCCATGGTGTAAACGGTGTTCTGAAATGATAAAATGAGCTAGAAAAGGTTTGGCAACATCATAATGTGGGGAGGTTTTTCTATGAAAGCGGCACTGAAGCTGTAAAGCTGATGGAAACTTATAGAAAGGAGCAGGAGTGTCCAAAGTGCATCCCAGGGGCCATGTGTGGCCCCTGGACTGATTTCATGTGGAAAAAATCAAGCGTCTGGGAAAGTTTTTGGAGACTTCTAGATGTGCTGTTCACGTTACCTGCAGCAGGAGTCGTTTTGACTTGGACCCTTTCCTCCTGTGGCCAATGACTCTGTCTCTCTCTTCTCTGGGAAAATGAACAAAAAAAAGGAATGGGTTAGTTGAATTTAGATTCTCTGCATGTGGTTTTGCTGTTCATCCCTCGTGTTGCAAATAAATGTCAGTGAAGCTCCACGCTAGCATGCCTGCATCCTAAGTGCACTAAGGAGTGTTAACATAGATCCTTTCTCCCAGCAGCTGTTAGCCTCCAGAACCATCACTGCTCCCAACAAAATCAAGAAGTATTTACATCCCTGCTGCTTTTTGAACAATTTTGCCCATTTCAAGCCACGTTTCACGTTTCTACTGTGTTCACACATATTTTTTTTCTGTTTTCATAAATTGTAAATAGTCTGTTTAATGTGCATTATGTGCATTTTTTAAAAATTGATCCTTATCAGCTGCACATTGTAAAGTATGCTATTTCTGAATTTCCCCACTGTGAAGATTTCAGTGAGAGATTAGAAATGCTAAAAACCTACAACACCAGAGCAATGTCAGAGTGGCTCATGTTGTTTGTGTTCCGTTTGAAGGAGGGTCTCACTTGTCCTCGAACGCCTGCACCAGGCGCCGGTCCAGGATATGCTCCTCAGGTTCCCAGGTGCTGTACCTGTGAGCATTTGCAAGAAAGAGATCTTTATTTTTACATAAACTCCATCTCTCTTTGTCTTTTTCATTTAGTTGGCAGATTAAGCGACTCAAACCTCATCAAAGCACATCCCATTAAAACGAAGACTGAAAAAAAAAAAAAAAAAAACTAAGCTAATCTGAGCTCCATCTTCTTGAGCCAAAGGAGAAGTTTTGACTGAAAGACAACTTAGTCAAAAAATGAAAAGGAGTTTGCTTCTTTAAAATCTTTTAAAATTCATGTAATTTATTTTCATTTTTCATACTGTATGAAGAAACCCCCCTCCCCCTGAAATCCAAACATGTTAAATCTTAAAACCCAACAGAATATGTTTGAATTTGATGTGTACTGCGTCGCAGTTTGAGAGAGCAGCTCATCTAAAGTTATTGTTTTGGAAATTCTTCACAGAAACCTCTGAATGCATGCATAATTGATTGGAGCGAACTTCCATATCAGCTTAATGTTTGATCAGGCTGAGCTTCCAACAGCAAATGAAATACACAGGGACAACAGAACATCTGGTGAGTTAGAACAGCAAAAATAAAACTAGAAATATCAATTTATGCCATATTTTTAAATCGGTGAGGATGTAATTATTTTTATTCAGCATCTCTAGAGCATCTCACATTTTTCACTATATTAAAATTTAACAAGCTGATATTAATTTTTTTTCTAGAGAAACTCCCCCCCCTACTCTTTAGTTGAAAAACTGTTGGAACCAGTGGAACATTTGTATCATTTGACAATTTTGAGGGGGGGGAGAGAAAATTCTGAAATGGCTGTCAAATTTCAACTTCAATTCAAGTCTGAATGAAGCTGTTGCAGAACAATTCATTGCAGGATACATTAAATTGAGCTAGATCATTTCCATTCTGATGATTAATATTTTTTTGAAGGTCAATTTTGTTAACAGAGACATCACGATCCATTTTATTTATGGTTTCTGTTGTGCGTTTTATTTATTGTTTTTGGTCACTGCACTTTATTTTGGATATTTAAAATGTCTTCCAGTTCCAGTGTTAAGTTTTTTTTTTTTTTTTAACTAAATTAGAGTTTATTGGTCTTTGAGAAGGGGGATATGCATTATTATGCCATTATTGATATATTACTTGAAAATGGTATCAAAGCAACAATGTTATTGTCTATTAGAATAACCACTGGGAACAAACTCAGTATTTACACCCTGCTGTTATTTGCAATGTTCTTTTAAATCTTCTGCAAATCGTCTATTGCTGTTTTCTATGCACATCTTTTTCAAAATCCTATATCGTTGTGTTACTTTATTGCACATGTTGTGCACGTGATTAGATTTTTGTCATAAAACCAAGGCTCTCTTTAGATTAAATATTCCATGCCTACATACTCACTTTGGAGGCCATCCTTTCCACTTCAGCAGGTACTCCACATTACCCTGTGGAGAAAAGGTTCCAGACCAGCATCAAAGGAGCAGAAAATAACACAGCTCTTAGAGCTGCGTTGCTTTTATAATTCTTCGGTAGCTCTGCATCATTGCTTTGCAGTTCATGAAACATATTGCAGACTGAGTGAAAGGTGCCAGCAAGCTTTGTGAAATATAGTTGGTTTACTTCTGATCAAAATATTCCACCCAACCTTCACTTTTAACATCCTTCCTGTGGCAACTTGAAATAGCTTATCTTCTGTTGGATCCACATCGAGTTATTGAGATGACGCTTTCATCACATGATGTGTAATATAATAACATTAATATACCAACCGAAGCACTCAGAGTTCGTCATTTCTTGGTGAAGTCATCCTCGGCTCTTAAAAATATTCTCAGTGGATGAAGTCACCATTTTCCCAAACTTCATCTAGATCCCATGAGGACATGAAGGTGCATTATAATCAGGAGTAGATATATTTGATCTGATAAATCCATCTTAATATTTAACTTCAAACTAAATAAAAAATTGAGTATATAAAAACATGTTTATATTGTAAACTCATGGCATATCACATGATATTGAGAACATCAGTAAATAAGTTTAATATAGCTCTTACTCATCAAGCTTCATTCTGAAACTCTATTGTGTTTGTTGTTTGGTTACTGTATGAAATCACCATGAACATCAGCGGTTCTATATTTAAACAGTGTGAATGACGTCTGTAAATCGAAACACAGACCGTTAGCTCTTGTGAACTCCTAAAATTTACAACCATCTAAACATATTTATACAAAAGCATAAATTAACTGCTAATAAATCTTAATCAAATGTTTTTTTTCTCACTAGTTTTTCAGATTTGCCTTAAACTAGCTAGACTTGCTAAAATGACCATTCAATTATAGTCACAATTTCAGTTCTGTAAATGTGACGTTTGAAGTCTCTGACATTTCTTATAAAAACTCCCCAAAACATGAATTATAATTCAGAAAATAAATGGTAGAGGAATCAGGTTTTGGTGGAAGAGTGACAACACGGATTTTATTGCATTATTACCTTAATGTGGCGCCAGCAGCTCCAGCTTAACCTTGATGTGGCCAGAAATGCCCAAAGACTTGCATTGAAACTGCATTATTTTGATCTCAGTCATTGTAAGTGAAGCCAGAGAAAACTCTGCGCATGTAGCATTTAGGATCTCTTTACACAGACTTTAAACTGTTGTAATTGTATGACAGATCATTTTTCCAACTTTAAAACAGTAACATTTTAATGGGGTGGAGTAAAATTTTGTTTAAAGTCCAGAGTTAATCATAATAAACAGATAAAACATTTTTTAATTTTGCTCAACTTAAATCTGTGCTCACATTTTAGCTTACCTCTATAACCAGTTCAATGCAGAAAAATACAGCAGAAATGACAGAGTCTCTAAGGTTCCTCTTTTGTGCTCCAGAACCCTTAAGTTCTAGATACGCACCTGTTAATGTCAACAACACGGCACGAGACCTACTCAGCAGGCAAGCAGGCCCATAATAACAGTTTGCCTGAATGTTTCCTCGTAGGGCTTAATGAGTCAAACAGCTTACGCCACAAGATACTGCGCAGTTACAACTGTTAAATTCAGGGGACACCTGACCCCCTTAAAAAGCCTCTTAATTAGCTAACCAGGTTAAAAGACACTGTGCTACTAATCTCTCAGGCATTAATTAGCATCCTCCCTCCCAAAATAAACACATGACACCGCAACGCACGCTGACATTACCCCGCTGCTCAACACGTCATTAATAATTTACGTCCCACTTTTGAACCCTTACCTTTCGAAGTCTTTTCTTCAGAATTGATTCCACAGCAAACACTTGCTCTCCAATTGCAGAGAGCTCCATCGCTTGTGCGCACCAATCCTCCGTGGGGATTTAACTGTCAAACTAACGTCCTTCTCCCTCACAAACTAAGCTAACGGTAAACTGCTACTGAGGGCGCGTGCCTCGGCTCCGTCCTCCCCTCTTCTCTGTCGCCGCTTCGGTTTGCTCCCACTTTCAGAGGCCGGTTTATCTGGAGCGACCTCCTCAGCACGCGTCCAGTGACTTTACAAAATCTGCGACACATCTGCACACCGCTTCGCGCGCGCTCGTGCCATGAAAGCGCGTTCCCCGTGAAGGATGAGTCGGCGCGCGCCACTGGCTGCCTCATCATCCTTGTTATTTACTGGATACCAAACGGTGGTAGTACTCTCATCCTTTAGCTCCCTTAAAGCAGCAGAACATCAACATGCTAACATTTATCAATGGGACTATAGCCACTTAAGTATTCACATCCATTGAACATTTTTCACGCCATTCAACAACCACAAACTCAAGAAAAGAAAAAAAAGCAGTGGATCCATACATCTCTGCAATTTTCTATCCTTTTAAAAGCACCACACATCCTAGTAGGTGAAATAAATGTACAAATTTGCCCTTTATTACCAATTTTAACACAATGACACGTGAAATGCCAAATATGAGGATTTTATTTATTTTTTTTATGAAAAAATAAAGTACACTGATAATCAGGATTCCTCCGAGGGGGAAGGACTTAATGGATTGTCATGGCAATAAAGCAAAGGCATATGAATGCAAATGTGCAACACATCGCTGTGTCCGTGTTCAGTTAATAAAAATATCTGACAGTTCAACGCGGTTTCTCATGGATGCAATGTGACATCACAGGATTATAGACAGGCCTAGAACATGAGGATGTTGCTTCAAATTTGAAATAAAATATGCACAACTTATATAATTGGATTGCTTATATATATATATATATATATATATATATATATATATAAAGAAGTGTAACAAATTCCTTGGCAGAAAAAATTGAAAACTCATCATGGGAGTAGTTGCTCTGCAAAAATGGAAGGGCGTCTACCATTTCACCTCCCAAATATAACAAACTGCTCCTTTGGATTTTCTGATATGGCGCCAAACTCCAAAATCTACATACTTTTTATGTAAACAAGTTAAGGCCAATTCAACCACTAACATGTATAAACGAAGATTTTAACGATTGGAGACGAGAACTTTTAATCACCTCACAAACTACCGTAAATCTTTTCTTTCTTTAGACACGACACCAGATCGCCAACAACTTTCACTTTTCATCCGACTTTCTAGATTAATACCTGCAAAAACTTTTTTTTTTTTTTTGCTCTCCAGGTCTTTTCAGGTTTACAAGCAAATAACTTTCTTCACTCAACTACGCTTTAAAAACTACTTCCTTTGACCGAGATTCCTCCGATTACAGTCAATAACTTGCTGAGACAGTCAGTGATTTCCTTTTAAAGCTGTGTTTGGCTGCTTTTCATATATGGGGAAAAAAAAAAAAAACTACAGGAAGATGAGGAAAAGCCCTTTATCTGCTGAGTTCCTGTGCTACAGAGGGCTGCTGTGATTGGGACCCTTTGGAAAAGTCACTGAGGCAAAAAAAAAAACTCTGGCAACAACAAATCAGGACAAAGGGAGGCATTTGAGTGATAAAGAGCTAGCGTCCAAACCTTTAGTGTACAGTCGTGATTTTTACCGTTGATCATTCGGTCAGTAGGAGTAAATAAATTCACTCAGTAAAAGGTTTTGCAGGTAAACGTTAAATCTGAAGTCAGCATGACTCACAGCATGAAAATTATCCTCCTGAATTAGTAGATGCATTTTGCTGCATTTGATCCGAAGAGGAAGAGAGTTTTAGCATCAAACCCAAAATATATATTTCTTTACTGACAGGCAATGTTTGTGTGTAGTGCAATAAGTCTTAAACAAATAACATATTTCTTTCCTTTACAGAAGCGTCTATACAGTGAGAAGAAATTTAAAAACACGACTAGGTGATCATCGATACAAGCAAGCTGGAGCAAATATCCACTAGAGGGAGTACTTGGCCTGAGTGTTGCATTGCTTTGTTGTCATAATATAAAAAGTGTTGCATTGACAAAGATTCTACAGTAAAGGGTGAGTCGGTGCCACAAGTGTAGGGAATTGCTGAAACACACACAGTTGGCGATGTGGTAAAACCTCTCTCTCTGCGCTGGGATTCGATGAGATGGAGATGAGGGAAAAAGAGGTGAGGGTGCACTTTGGTGAGAAAGATGGGAAAATATGGAGTAAAATAAAACATTAAAAAAAGAGGAGGAAAAAAGAATAAACATAAAAATCTGCATTTTCCTTAGGTCCAAAATTCTCACAACTTTAGAAATTTGGGAAAATGAAAAGGGCAAGACAGAAAAAATAAGCATCGAAATATAAAAAAGGAACAGAATAGTCTCAGCTGTGATTCTTTGATTCGCTCTATAAAGTGTTTGCCTCCTTCATTACTTTGTGTCTCGGATCAGCTAAGTGATCAGCAATGACCGTGTAAACAAAACCCAAAAGAAGAAGAAGAAGAAAAAACAGGCTGGGTGGGGAGGAATTACAACTGCAAGAGTGCATCGATGCAATTGGCGGTGCACAACGCTACTTCGTCTCCAGTTCGTCCTGCGACAGGCCCGTTTGGCTGATGCGATTGGCTGGTTGAACCCTCAGCTGTCGGAGCGCCATGTTTGGTGGACCTCCACCTCTTCTGAGACAACCAGCAGGAGTTCACAGTTCTTCCCTCGTAACTGCTGACGGAGAAACTTCCTGAGTTTGTGATGAAGGAAACAAAACAGTCACTTGCGAGAATGATAAAAATAAATAAATGAGCATCAAGATTTCAAGAGGCTAAGTAAAAATGTGCAGAGAGAGTAAAAGTAAAATAATATTTAGTTACGTTTTCTGTCTACAACAGTAAAAATAATTCCAGGGTTTTTCCTGCTTGTCTGAGAGAGGGACACACAGGAGATTCCTCTTCCTTTCAGGAAAATATGTTACTTTTGTATTGCTAAAATGATTCAATCTATTAATATGCTTTGTACATTTTTATTTCAAATATGACATTATGATCATAATAATTACAATGGCTGAGCAGGATGATCCACGTGGTGGGATGTTGTTCTGAACACATTCTCAGAACACCTTGCCTCTCACCTGAGCTCATCAGGACTGCCAATAGGCTGAGGGTTGCGTAGCTTAGAATCCAGGTTGTAGTAGACACCTCCCACCTCCCTGACTCCAATCCAGTGCTGGCGTTTAAGTGGCAGCCGGAGGGGCCCCCAGCGCAGGTTGGACGGCACGTTGAGGATAAAGCCCTCCACGTTGGACAGCTCAATGCTGCCAACATCCCTGGGGGAAGAAAAAAAAAAGCTATTTAAGCAAAGAACATCATAAAACACAATGGACAACATACCATTTGGATGCTATGCTGTGGTGTCATACTTGACGAAGTCATTTGTAATTCTGTACAACAATATCATATTGCACACATTGGAAATCTTCTTGAAGTTTAAAACATTATGACATTTCCCGTCGCAAAGATTTTACAACTTAAAAGGTTTTTTAATGAAATCCGAGATTTTAACTCTGGCCAAAGATCATTTTTCCAGTCCAAGTCTAAGTCAGATTTTAAGTTTCTTGCCTCCAGTCCAAGTCAATCTTTCGCCTCGAGTCTCGTCTTTCACTTGTCTCCAAGTTGAGGCTCTGATGATTAAGATGATGTTTTCTGATTTAAAAAGTATACCATCTAGTCCACTTATAATGCAAGTTAGGAATTCAAATCCTGTCTTTTTATCTTAAGGGCTATTTTCACAAAGTACCACAATTGGCTTTTAATCGGTTAACATTTAACTCAACAAGCAAAAAAAACGTTATGACCCGCTTTAAATTACTTTGAAAACTAAAATTCATCCATCCATCCATTTTCTTTACACCCTTGTCCCTCAGTGGGGTCAGGAGGGTTGCTGGTGCCTATCTCCAGCTATCGTTCTGGGCGAGAGGCGGGGTACACCCTGGACAGGTCGCCAATCTGTCGCAGGGCAACACAGAGACAAACAACCATGCACACACACACTCACACCTAGGGACAATTTGGAGAGGCCAATTTACCTGACAGTCATGTCTTTGGACTGTGGAAGGAAACCAGAGTACCCGGAGAAAACCCACGCATGCACAGGGAGAACATGCAAACTCCATGCAAAAAAGACTGGGGCCGGGAATCGAACCCAGAACCTTCTTGCTGCAAGGCAACAGCTCTACCAACTGCACCACTGTGCAGCCCCAGAAAACTAAAATTAAATGAATTAAATCTTCATTTCAAACTCAGCAACAGATGGTTCCACAAAGTATCGACTCAGTGCGGCTAAATACTTTTGCACACCACAGAAACTTTTTGAATGGTGTAGAATTTTCTTTCTACTTCAAAATTGTACATCACTTTGTGTTGGTCTTTCACATTAAATTCCAAATAAATATATTTATGCTTGCGGTGGGAATGTGACAAAATATGGAAAATTTCACAAGGCTTTGAATATTTTTGTAAGCTGCTGCAAATCAATGTGCTGAGCTCAGCGGGAACAGAGCATTCAGTAAACATATCAATTTTTGGATTCTTCCCAATGTTCAAAATCCTCTTCAAAGATTTTTAGTGGTGCGCAAACAAATGTGCAAACAAGCTTTGTGCTGCATAAAAAAAGTAGCAGAAAGAGAGTCGTGTCTATGTTGTCAATTGATTAAGTTCCTGTTTCAGCACAGGCTAGAAAGACAGAAACTCATTTTCACAGAAAAAGGCAGAGACTCCTGATTCCGTTAGCAGTCCTGTGAGACCGATAATTAAGAAAGCACAAATACTGATAATAAAAAAAAGGCAAACTGATGGATCTTTGAAGACGCGGCTGTTAAGCTGATGTAGTTTCAGCAGAGGAAGCAGAGCCTCTGAAGAGCAGACCTCCTGTTTACATTTAGGATTTTAGTGAAGAATGCAGATGTTCGAGTTGGTTGAGAAGTTTCCTGTCCTCAAGAGTCAAGATTAGAAACAAATATGAGGGGAAAAAAAAGAAAAAAAAAATCAACCAAACATGTGGACCAGAGTAAAAGTGTTTATGTTTTGGCTCTGCGGCCTCTGCCCAACCCCCCCAAGGATCATTCTGGGAAATAAACTAAGACAACAGCGGAACATGCACTACAAATACACAAAAAAAAATCTCAATTACAGAGAGATGCAGTTTCACCACTGGATCTAAACTAGGACTCAAACAGAGATAAAGGTTTTTGTTGGTCTAGTTTTAGACAGTGATGTCAATCCAAGAAACAATACATTTGATAAATGCATCCACATCCTGCTGTGATGATTACAGGTGTGTTCAAAACAAACTGGAGTTACTGGAGAGACTAGAAAATCATCATGTGTGGCACAACACATATTTATAGCTTGTGAATTTTTGGGGGCTTGACTATTTTATTATTCATGTCAATGTTTGCCTTATTTTCAACAAACCAGTTAGATTTATTTGGTTTGGTGCTGCAGGATATTTATAATTCGAACGGAAACACGAAACTGGTGTTTCGCCAGCAGCTCAGAAAGTGAACCTTCAACCAACACAACTGGCCTCTTTGGATATTTTACCCCAAAAATAACTATGTGTAATTCTTAGAGTTCCTAAAGATTCATTCTGGTAGTTGTTTTATATTATTCAGAAGTAGAATCACAACAGGGCTGAAACGATTAATCAGATGAGTTATTGAAATAATCGTCAACCGTTTTAGTAATCGATAAATCGTATGCAGACTCAAAAAGAGGCAATTTGCTGTAAAGACAACACAGTCAGAGCAGTAATTCACAAAAAATATTAAATATTTTGCATTTAAGATAAAAAGATATGCATTTGTCTGTTAATCTGTCCTACCCAGAACTTTTCAAGTGGGTGTTTTGATTTCACCTGGTTCACATTCTGTACAAAATGTCATCTTTACCAACTAGTTAATCCAAAAATAATCAACAGATCAGTTGTACACGGTCCTGATACCAAGTCAAGCAGAAAGGATTGAGTTTTTCGCATGCTGATGTTAAAAGTTTTTCTTTTGGCTATAGCTTTACTAAAATAATTGTTTCTTCAGCTTAGCTATAGGTCAAAAAAAGCAGATCAGGAGCAAGAAAAAAAATTAAAGTTAAAAGAAAAATAACCTTCCTTTCCAATGTGAGGAACTCTCTTTATGAAACAATTAATCATTTGTGAAACGATTAATCATTTGTGAAACAAGTCCTCTGAGACAGGACTTTCACCCTCTTAATGGAGAAAAATACATATTTATATATACTGTTAAAATCAATATTCAGAAGGACAAAAACATTTGTGGTGTACTGGCCCAAATAAATGAATTGAAAGTATTGTTTTAGATTACTGTGCTGAGCAAAAACCAAGTGAGAAGCATAAAAATCTTAACACAAGTTATTCAACCATTTATCAATTGATATATCTGTGAATTTTTTTTGTAATTTCTTTTGCATCTGTGGCAATAAAACTTAGACACTGTACTTATAAATCCTATAATTTCGACTGGACAACAAGAGCCCCCTGGTGTGTTTTGCAACACTTTCCACTTAGTGCGTCTGGGTTCAAGTCCACAAAGTCCCATGTCACCTGATCAGTTCTGACCTGAGCAGAGAAACCAAGTCTGAGATTAATAAGCCGATATTCTGACAGTGTTTGGGTCTTCACACACAGCCAGCAAGTGGCTCATCCAACATACTACAGCCTGGAAACAAACCCTGCATATCCATTCCTCACACGACTTGTTTCAACGACAAGCTGGTATGCAAACCTGGACTGTGTCAGAGCTAATGTCCAACTATTCCCAGAGAAACATGACACTGACAAACTTTAGAAATGGCTAAATTGAAAGCACAAAGTGTCTGTGACTGTTCATACCATTGTGGCTTTGTCGTCGTTTGATAAATAATTGCATATTTGGAATCTGCAGTGTTTTGTACATTTGGACTTGGATTTAAATTACATACGTACCTTCTTTTATCCCACCAGACTGCCTCAAACCCTCGGGTCTGCAATGCCGCCATGATGACATTCACATCATAGTTCCCGTTTCCCAGCATGCTCTTTTTGTGAGGCGTCACCATAGTGCTGGGACTTAGCCTGCAACGTGTTGAAAACGAGAAATCAACCACAGTCTGTCATGTTTACTTGCTAACATCAAAGGTTTCTATTGGGATTTTATGTCATCAACACAAAGTTGTGCCTAACTAAGAAGACATGGCTTTCTAATTTTTGCTAATTATAAGTGTGTAAAGTGTAATGTGCATTTGAACACAGCCCTTTTTACACCTTTAACATGACTTATTGAAGAGCAAAACCAAGACTCTAAATCAGTTTCATTTGGCTGTCGTGAGTCCACAGCGGCTCTTCAGGTTGTAAAGGTTGCAAAGCCCTGCTCTAGATATGATATGCTCACAAGATATGACAAGATATGAAAAAAATCCTTTGTAAGAATGGCCAGTCAAATACCAGAAATATAACCAACTGAGAATCAGTGTAAACCTTAGAACACTGATTCTCACTGTTTTAACCCAAAGAAGAACAGGTAAGCATCTGTCAAGTGTGGATACAAGCATAAAACTTTGTTTGCTCAACCCTCAGGATGCACGTTTGTCATACCGATATCGGTGCACCGATTGCAGCCACTTAGATTTCAGGATGACGGCCATGGCTGCCATTTTTCTGCCTTTTAAACCAGTTATTTGCATAAAATGTTACCCATTTTCATGACTTGGATGAACTCTATCTCACATCATTTGTTTTCAACGATGGTCATCCTAATCACAAAACTCACTAATAACAGGCTGCAAAATCTGATGCCAAAACTGAAGCTGAGGTTTCTGCTGTTAGTCTAACACCAGTCGTCAAGGAAGGACAAGAAGACTGGGCTGACAGTCATCTTAATGGTTCTTGTTAGCTCCTGCAAATTTTTTTAATTGTTTAGTGGTTTAGTATTAGCTTCCGCTAATGTTTTCATTTCTACATCAGTTCAGTGTATATTTTTATATTTTCATTTGTTTAGCAGTTCAGCATTAGCTTTGGCTAATACTTTTATATGTTTAGTAATAACGTCTGCTAATGTTATGTCTTTAGCAGGTTAGCGTTAGCTTCTCCTTATATCTTCATTTGTTTAGCATTAGCATATTTTTATTTGCTTAGTGGTTTAGCATCGACTTCCGCTAATGTTTTTATTTGTTTAGCGGTTTTGTTTAGTTTCTTCAAATATCTTTCTGTGTTTAGCAGTTTTGAATAAATGGCCACCATCAATTTTTCAGTGGCTAACTTTTTTTCTCTTTTTTTTAAAAATACATAGCAAGACCATGGGAACGCCTGTGCCAAGTAGGGTTCTTGTATCCACATGTTAAAGATTTTGCTGAAATATTCAATGCATTCAGCTATACCTCAAAATTTTGCAGCTTTAATTGCAGAGAGCAATTAAAGCTGCAAACTCAGTGGGGCTGGATACAATTGCATCCCACACTTTCGTCACCCACATTCTTTTTGTTGTGAGCATAATTTCTAAAATCATGTATCATTTTCCTTTCACCTCACAATTACATGCTACTTTGTGTGGGTGTACCTCATCAAATCCAGAGACGAAAGGTGGAAAAGTTCAAGAAGTATAAACACTTTTGCAAGACAAAGGTGATTCTTGGTGCATTTTAGTAACCCAGCTCTCTCACCTTTGGTATATCTCCTGCAGGGTGTCCCGACTAAAGGCTGTCCCATCCTGGAAGACGTTGTTGAGCGCATGCAATGCACACAGCTCCCTCCGCTGCTTCTCGTGATATATGGCCGGAGTTGTCGGAGAAGTCTGCTGGGGAGCCGGCGGGGAGAGGGAGGACGACGACGACGAGAGATCCTGCTGCAGCTGACCGTCCCTCGGATCCTTGCTCCTCCTCTCCGCTGCTCCTGAAACCGCTTCCCCCCCTCCTCCGGCAGCTTTCTGCTTGCTGACCTTCCAGGGCATGCAGCCCAGCTCCTGCAGTCCGCCTCGGCCCTTCTCCTTCCACTCGCTGGCTGGATACGGAGTACTGCCCATCCGTGGACGTTCACCACCGCCGCCGCCACCACCACCGCCACGTCCTCCTCCTCCAGCTCCACCACTACTGCCCTCAGGATGCTACATTGAAGGCAGGACAGCCGTTCCCATGGCAGCCCCCTCGACCTCCGGGAAGAGAGGAGTCTGTGTGTTGCTATGTAGGCTCTCAGAGGAAGGTGGAAGGTAAATAAACACCACCTCTCTCAACTGGAGAGGACGTAGAAAGTAGAATTCAGGACAGAATTTAGACAGGGGTGGAAAAATAAAAAGTATGAGGAAAATGGGATCCTCCGATAAAAATCATAAATCAAGTTGTCATCCCTCTCTTGTGTGTTTCCACTTCCTCCATCCTGTGAGTGTTTGTGTGCGTTGACCGTTGTGTCCCTCCAGTCAGCAGACGTGCCGTTTTGCAGGACTTTCCATCACCAGAAAGCTGAACATGAAGCTTCTCTCACGTTGCTCTGGAAACAGATGTTACGACCAGTTTAGAATACTGAACGCAATTTGAAGTATTCCGCTTTGTTGAGCTACATTGATTCTGATCTAATCTCTTTTTTCCTTTTCTGTCACCCTTAAGCACATTTTTAGGGGTGCACCGATTGCAGTTTTTTTGTCCCATTACTGACCTTTAAAAAGTCGACTTTTTTTTTTTGTCTGAAAAGTTGCTAAGCACAGCGACAGAGTTGATACATCAGCAAAAGTGGAGAGACTCTCACGTCTGAGCAAAATGGGGGCAGCTACTGAATTTCAGATATTTGTCCAAGTAGATAAGATCGGTTTCACATGCAAGTACAAGCTGATCACAGAAAATTAAGGAAATCTGGACCGATCTGTAAGTGCATCCCAAAGACAACCAGAAAAAACACAATCACTTTTTAAGTTATGCTATAATTTAATAAGGTTCAGACTAATGATGTCATCCAGGACATATTTTTGTACAAGATTGTCTTTGCTGTCAGCATGTCATGATGGTCACAAGACCAACAGACTTCAGTCAGAGGTCTCTTCAAATTTGTTGCGAGACAGACTGCTACAGCAGATTCTTCCTGCTCACAGCATCACTGTCCACAACCGCTCTTTGAAGATGCTTTGATCATATGATTGCAACATTTCATTTCCTTTTGGAAATTTTTTGAAATAACTTTTAATTGAATTGAATTTGTATCAGAGCTGTCGTCACCCAAAAGGGTCGTTTTTTTCCCCATGTAGGGCCATGTTAGCTTGGACAGCTTTTTTCCCTATAATATATGTACTGCTTGTTATATTTGGCAAATATTTATATATCTTTAATGATCTGAAACATTTAGGTGAGATATAAAGCTAAAGAGAAGAAATTTGTAGGGGGCAAATACATTTTTTCACAGCAATGCACAACTGCTAAAATGTTAAAAACAAAGAAAGTGGGAACAACTTATTATCAGCTACAATGTTCTTTAAAGCTATGCCGAATCTATTTAAGGTGTATGCAGATGGTTAAAATACAACAATAATAGGCTTTACTCTTTTTTTCGACCAGCGGACTTCAAAATAGGCAGAAAGTAAGTATCTCCAGCAGCTAGTTCTGAATAGAGGAAACAAGCTGTCCAGAGAGAACTAGCTAAATGTGACAGCAGCCAAACACAGGTCACAGCAATAAGAAAGCAAACGCTCACACTAACCAAGGACAGCTGCTCTTAGACACTAAAAACACACTCGTACTGTAGTATTGAATCCATGTTGGCAGCAGTTTTTTTTTTTCGCCGTTAGTCCTGTGGATGTTTTCTACGTAACTCCGTCTCTACAGCCAACACAAACACAACGCCTTCCTCTAACTTCATTATTTCACAACGAACACTTACCCGTCCGGTTCCGACCGGTGGTGAGACAGTCGAACCTCTACAAAACGGTCTAGGAAACTAACTGAGCTGGTTTTTGCTTTCCCTAAAGGCTGTCCGGTCCTTTGTCTTTAACACTTTTTTTTCCTGTTGTGAGGTCTGTTTCTCCGTCCGTGAAGATAACGCGCATGCGCAGTAGCGTTTCCCTGGCTGCGTCAGAAAGCACAGGAGCAGTTCCTCCCCTGAGAATAAAACCCTTAAAATGTTCCACTTTAAGCCTCGACTGTGAGGAGGCACACCCTGGGTTCTGTTTACGGTGATTAAAATTAAAATTATACAGGTAAGAAATGTTTTAATACCACAGGCACAGTGGCGGATGTTCCATTTTTGGCGCCCTGGGCGAATCTTTTTCTGCCTCCACAACCTATCAAACCTCAAAGGATTTTTTTTATTGGGCATCTGTTAAAAGGATATAAGCAGTTTATATTTTACCTGTGGTGTACCTCTTTGGCCTCTGCAGTTAATATGAATCCAGGTATGGGTTAGCAAGTTGTATTGATTATTTTGAGAACTTAAAACTAGGAAGCCCCTTTTCACACAATGCTTTTTAATAACAAACTGTGGTCGGATGCAACAATAATCACTAGAATAATTATTTAATCCTGGTTTGACCAGTCAATATATTATATATTTTTTGCTTCTCTAATTCTAAAACCAGGAAAGCACTGATTCTTTTTCTAAATAGAAAAAGTATGTTTACTAATCTTGTGCCAGGACCCACCTCCTCGCTTTGATTGGTTAGTTCTGATTGGGAGTGGGGCATTTTTACAGACGCCATATTAGCTGAAAGAAACACCTTATAAAAATTACATCCTGCAGCTTTATAGGAAATGCTGCAATTAATAAATATATAGTTTTTCGATAAAAAGTTTTGGCGCGATGGAAATGAAGACATTTTTCTGGAGTCACTGGAGTCACATGATCAACAACCGGATGTTACCACAGGCCCAAACCACAAAGAAGAAGACGACAGGTAGTTGGAGGATGATTTTTAATAACTTATTGTGTGTACAAACTTATTTCCATGGTTTATAACAGCATTTGTTATTTCATGCAAACACCACTATCACAAATGTGTTTTTTCGACATTATCAGAACATTGACAAAGTTTTACACACATTTTCGATGGAAACACAGATACTGACAAAACCACAGGGCAAATGGAAATATACATATATATATGTTTTTAAAATTTTCTTTAGCCAAGGCTAACAAACGCTCCAACACCTCTCGCCGTGTAGTTCCCCTATCTACCTGTGGCCCAGTTGTTGAGCCAGTGCGGAGGACATGTCATCCAGCAGCTTCTCCCTCAGCTCGACCTCCCTCTTGTACACCTCATGGACAAAATGGCCCCTGTTCTCCTTTACATCTAACACACGCTCAACCAGATCTCTGTAAGCGCAGTCTTTAGACCTTCGACTTGAATACTTTCCTGTAGGTGGAACGTATGCGCTGCTGTCCACAAGCTCTGGACTCTGACCACAGATAGAGCAGGCCTTTTCCAGCCCCTCCAGCAGCTCATCCATGGTGAAGCTTTGTCTGCCGTCCACATAAGAGATCACCGGGATAATGTATCCCGTGACTCCCTCTCCAAACAGTTCAAGGGCGCCTTGAACGGCTCGGGTGAGGTCCTGGCCAACCGACTCGCCGGAGCTTTGAGCCTTGATAACCAGCAGAAAGGCATGCGGGCCGGGACTAGTGAGCTGAAGGCTCCTTAGGGCCTCCCTGGCGCGGCTTGCATTCCCCATTGACGACCCTAAAACATCGGGGGTGTTGATTACTGTAATCTCTCTGCCGTCCAGCACCGTGCTCTGCTTGATGCCCTTCTTCACCACGTTGCTGAATGGTCTCGTCTTGTTGCTGCCTATTGCTAACAAATCGTCTGCTATGATGTTTCGGTCCGCTACGTTTGGCCCCAGGAAGATCAACCTCAAATCTGACTCCCTTGAAGTGCCACTGATCTGTGGTCCATCATCAGACGATCCTGTAGACGTGAGAAGTTTTAGTGTAAATGCTTAAACAATGTTGTTGGAAAGTTGTTGGGGTGTCGGGGGCAGATGGAAGAGCTCACCCAGGGTCACATTCATGCAAGAGCCACCACTGTTAGTAGACCCTATAATTAGAGCTTTTCAGGAAATAAAAGGGCTGGAGGTGCGATTGCAAATACACTCACTGACGTAAAACATTTTCTTAGTTTATATATTTGCAATGATGGAAGTAATTACTGTCAATCCAGTTGGAAGACTGAATAGTATTCTTACAAAGTTTGCTATTTTGGAACGACACATTCTGTTTTTGTCAGTAAATTGGCAACGCGTTGTCGGAAATTTAAATACCTTTGTAAAAACATTAAAGTAGATTTACTTTTCAAAATATAAGTGCGTGTTTCCCCCTAAATGAGGAGGATTATCGGAGGTAAGGAGAACCCTTGGGAAATTACCACACAATTTAAAACAATAAAGAAGAGTATAATGACCTGTGATGGCTCTGATGATGGGAACCATCCACTTGAGTTTGGAGGAAAATGCTGAAGACACATCAAATTAAGACGTTAGTCTAAGTTGTAATTACAGTCTTTTGTGTTTATGTTGCTGGAATAGCTGCTAGTTCATTTTGACTTGAATTTATGAAACACTGAAATATCACCCTACAGAAGAGGAAGAGGAGCTCACCGACTAGAAACCGCCAAACCCGAGAAACCCATTTCAACAGGTTCTTGATTCCTGAGACAAAAAGGAGAAAAGTAAAAGCGTTTTATTTAGGCTGCTTTAACTTCTCGTATGGAAGCTCGTCACTGGGAATAAGACTTATAGTTCGTACCGCGGAAGGTTCCGACCAGGCGGCTCACCCAGCCCCAAAGAGCTGACAGACCTGAGGCAGGACCAACAAAATGTTTGCCTTGTGATTTTGGTTCCGGCCAAACTTCGTCAAGATGTCAGAGGGAAAAACAAATAACAAAAACTCACCGGTTATGTAGCAGAAGAAACGGATCGGCCAACGGATCAGCGCTGGGAGAGCTGCAGGAAAACCAAACGGCTTAAAACATCTGGATAAAAATTACTCACACCGTCAAAGAATTCCATATAATACTCACCTTAGTCCTTTATTATAATATATTATCAATCCTTGTATCATGAAATAGAAAATAAGGGGAATTGTGCCAGTATTTAAAAGTGTCTGAAGTTTTGTCACATTTGGTGACGTTACAATCACAAACTTCTATGTATTTTAGTGGGATTTTAAGGTATCTGATAAAGGAAATGATACATTTGATGGCAAAGGCCATAACAGGCAAATTAATTAATTAAATTAAAACTTTAAACATCTACTAAATCTTTTGTTTCACTCTTTGCATGATTTGTAACCACATTCAGTATGTGTAAGGTCGTGTCATAACCTCTTGATGTGATTTAAATTTGTGTCCAAGCTCCAGACTTCAGCAAGACACATTAGCTGAACAACGCAGCTACTCTTTGAGTATTCTTTGTTTGTTTGTTTAAAATAAGATTGTGAATATGCGAGGTCGTCGTGGCGACTGACTTTGTGAAAATCTGTAGAGAAGGTAGCCCACCACAGCGAAGCCTCCCATCTGGACGTTGCTGCCTCCCATGAACCAGCCTACACCAAATAAAGAAGGGTTATTACTACAGCACTGCTATTTCCCACTTATTATGTAGAGGTGTGTGTGTGTGTGTGTGTGTGTGTGTCTTCACATGTATCACGAGTCACACAGCATTCCATAATTAGACCGATTGCAGCATCTTTTATATGCAAGGCCTTCTGAGGTAAAGTCAATTTCTACACTGTGACATGTTTAAATAATAGCTTTTTTTTTTCTTGTAAACTTTAAAGTTTCCTACCAGCAGGGGCAGCCTCGGCGTTGTTCTCACACTGACACTCCATTTCAGCATCAGTCTTTACAAAAACAGCACAAACACACATCACAAACCTCACACCTTTATTTTGAAGCAACAATCCAGAAACGCATGGTTTCAATAAGCAAAGATCAACCAAGCACAAAGTCCATGTTTGCCTTTCTGAACAGTAAAAGGGATCTGAAGAGTCGTTACCTTGTGTGTGTATGTGTATGTGTGTTGGAGTAAACCTTCCTGAGGAACGTCGTCTGGTTCTGACACAGCTCACACGCTGGATGTTTCCTTCCTGCTGAGCGCGGAGACGCTCCCTCAACACGATCAGCGCTTCTGAATTATTAATCTGAATGGAGATGCCAGAACGCCTCCAGGTGTGTCGCGCCTTCTTTTCTGGCAGAACTGGAAATGCTGCCTGAGACCTACGATCTCTTTCAGTTTGAAATAATACAAAAAATAAGAGTCGCTTTTATAAAGAAACGTTTTAATGCAACACGTTATCAATAATCATCACTAGTTGTCTTTTTAATTACAGGCGTGCGTCAGTGGTTCCGCCTGGAAAAGAAGATCTGGGATTTTTACAATACAAGTGAAGACGTTCAGCTTATTCTTCCACTTAACTTTCACTACTTCTCTAATCCAGCGCATAAAAAAAAAACAACCTCCCTGAACATCTGAAAGCGTCTGATAGCGTCCTCATGAACCCAGTCGCTCGCTCAGAGCGTCTATCAGATCCTGCTTCTTGGTCCCGGTGGTTTTGATCCCAAACTGCTTGCAGGCCTCCTTCAGCACCGTCACAGTCAGCTTTCCCAGAGTGCCGTTCTGCATGTGGGCCTTCAGCTCATCCGCCGTTGCCCCCACTTTGGGCTTCTTCTCGGCCCCGGCTCCGCCGTCGGCTGCACGCAGAGAGAAAGACACGATCAGGCTGGAAACGGCGTCTGATCTGAAGTACGGTGGCGGAAACCGAATGGAGGGTCTAACCCGTTTTCCGTTTGGGAGCTGGTTTGGTCTCTGGGTTGTACCCGGCAGGGTAGACCAGATCCTTAAACTCGTCCACCAGAGGGCCGAGCCGCTGGTCAATCTGGTCCACTTTAGGCACTGAGGTGTGGGAAAAGAAAAAAGAAAGAAAAAAAAAACACATGAAGAAGAAAGAAGGTTAGAGAGTTGAGATAGAAGAACTGAATGTGGGGAACAGAAAGTAAAGTAGTCGGCTTCTTACTGATGAGATCCTCGATGTCCTCTGGAGCCAACATGTCCAGAGCCAGGGCTTCCAGGTTCCTGAAGTGCTGCTGCAGGACTGGGTTCTCGAACGCATCACTCCTGCATGACATGGAGGAGGAAGGAAGCAGCTTATGTAGAGGACTACAGTAAATAGAATAAAGAAAGGAAGTATAATGTGATGTCATCATATCTATACAACGGCATGTCCAGGGCACTGCAAACAGACCAAAATAAATTAATATAAATGAATTCCCCCCTGAAAAAAGTGCAATCAATAAAAATAAATTAAAAAGAAAAAAAAAAAAAAAAAAAACGTAGAAATTTTGGAGGCACAAAATTTGAAAATTATGGACTTCTGAAACTCAAAACAGCAAAACAAACAAACAAACAAACAAACAAAAAAAAACACACTGGTGACATGATTACCGGCAGCTCCCTCCCTCTGTATACTCCAAGCTTCTCAAATGTTCTGGGAGAAAACTAGAATCTGGCAAAACTGCTTGCTAACAGCAGAAGTGTAAGAAATATATTTTACATGTGAGGATTTTTCTAAAATCTGCGTCTTCATAAACTGACCTGTACTTGAAGCGGAGCTTCTGGATGATCTCCTTCATCTTGTTAACCTGTGTTTGTGAGGCCGGCGGACATCTAGGAGGATCGAGAGTTCGCAGGTCGTCGGCATACGGCAGGTAGATGACATTGAAACCTGATGAAGGGAGCAGAGAGCAGGTCGACATACATCCATCGTAGGAAAAAAAAAAAACCATAATATGAACACTATCAGAAACTCCATTTATTACTTCAATTTCCTGATCTAGGTTTAATCTTTTGGGTTCTTGCGATGCTAAAACCACCAAGATTCACAGCAAATACGAGAATGCCAACGGTTGTTGACCTGGAGGTGTGATCTGGACCTTCCCTTCGTCGACTTCTTCCGTCTGAGGCACCAAGGCAACAAATCTGGGTGGGTAGTTTCGGCGGAAGACGGAGCGACACAGAGCAAAGACGTTTCTCTCGATGCACTTCTTCAACAGGGCCGAGAACAGACAGGCACTTCCTGGAGCAGCAAAACAACAACAAACACGCAAAAAAAGAAAACAAAACAGTTTTAAAGGGGCAGTGTTATGTATATTCAAGACACATAGTGGCATTTTAAAACACAATCAAGTATCTATGTGTTTGCTGCTGGCTAGTCTGAGGAGTCAAGTCTACTCCCTTAAATGCAGACAGAAGATAAGAGGAGCTTTTAAACTACGTAAAATATCAGAACAGATCCACAGTTCTACCTTTCACTTCGCCCTCCTCAGGGTAGATGAAGACAGAAGGTCGGATGTGATGATGCAGTTTGAGTTTTTCCATTGGCTTAAATCCGATCAGAAACAGTCCCGGGTCGTGAAACTTCTTAATGGCATCCACTTCATCCTTCTCCATCACTATTTGTTTCCTACCGTACACCTACAACACACACAAGTCAGTATTTTTACCCGTATTTTACCCTGTCCATTCATTTTAATAACTGCATTTATGTCTAACCCAGACATTTACCCGAACCCTTAACCAAAACTTAACTCACGCCATACCTCTCAACCTGTCTCTCCCAAACTGTGGTCAGCTGACGCCCCCTAGTGGTCGTCATTTACCGTGATGTGAGCTCAAAGTGCGAAGCGTGCATTTAGCTTACCAAAGGATTGTATTTAAGTGGTTTAAAAGAAGATGAAGATGCCGAGGGGAAGAAAACATCTGAAGGAATTGATGTCTGCAGTAACGTTTCTCAGATTCTTTAGGGTGAGTTGTAGAACTTTTGTTTTTAGAACACAATTAAAGATACATAGCATGCCACTATGCCACCTGAGCTGAGTTCGATACAGTGGTGACGAGGCGGTGAGCAGCGCCACGCCCCACGTTGACTAACTGCATCTTTACACCTAAAATAAAATAATTATTTACATCGGATTTTCTTTGAGCTGAAATAAAATGTTACTTTCTGCCATAGCTTTGTTTCTTTTATTATTATTCTAAATTACAAATAGCCCGAAAATGTTACTAATGCACACAACATGTGAAGTAAAGAACAACGTATTTTTTGGGACCGGGCTTTGGCCCATATAAAGCCCATCAGGCTTTCAGAAATGGTCCTAAGCATTACAGCTAAACAATGCTAATAATTCCATTTAAAGAAGTTCATTCATATTTAAACCCAGCTGCCACATACCTGGGCCTTCTTTATCTCGCTGGGCAGCAGCAGACTGCCGGTCTGAGTGTGGAAGGTGCGGGTTTTGCTGCGCACCGGTTCGTTGGTTTCCCGGTACAGTCTGACGGAGGCGGGTTTCCGAGCCGACACCGCAGTTGCGTACACACCCACCGCTACGTTTAGACCCTCACCAAGAGTCAAGCTTAACCTGAACAACACAGCACAGGGACGGGCAGGGTGTGAACGCCGCTTGAGAGTTTTGGGTTTACAGAAAAAATTGTTGTTTGTTGTTTTTACCTTCTTTTTTTTTTAATATAATTTTTTGTACAGTTTTGGCTTAATGAATAATGACGAAAAGTCATCAGTGTATGTAAATATCTGGTTTGAAGTGCAGCTTATGTTCTGTCTATGTCCTATTTGTACTAATACTACACAGTTGCCAGTCTGCTACTATTTGATCTAGTACAAGTAAAGGGCAAAATGGAGACAGATGTTTTTTCTGTGTAGAAACAGAAAAAAAAACTTCTTTTTTTTTTCCTGTCACCTGGCCAAGGCTCTCTTTTTGGTCTCTCTGGCTCGGACCCGTTTCTGAAGGTCCTCCAGTTTGTCGCACGGCTCCAGCTGCAGGCCGAGCTCGCTGTCGTCCTCGGGCGGGCTCACGATGTCCCGGAAGAAGAGCGACACGTCGAAGCCGCCCGGTTTTATCAGGTGCATTAAATCGATGAGAACACCTGAGAACACCCGGAGGAGTCGGGTCGGATCAGACAGGCTGATCAAACAAGAAACTGTAAACTGTTTGTGTGTCAGATGCTGCTGTGAACTTAGAAAACAGCTTTGATTTACCAGCTGCACGTTCTTATGGGGGTTTTCCTAGCATATTTAGACACCTAGATACTGTAAATTTGAATCCACCATGAATTCTACCAGGGGATCGTTGGAGGAAAATGTGACAATAAGTCAAAATACACATGAAAATTCAAGTTGAGAAATGGAAAATCCATGGCTAAGTCAAAGGCAATATCTGATACAACAAAGCTATTTGGGATTTATACCTGTAAGTAAACAAGTAAACCAAGGAACATAAAATAAAAGTTAGGCATCAATTTGATGGATATGTGAATAGTTCCTTTAAAGGAAGTCAGCAACCTAATGTAATTTCTTGACAGAAGACATTTTTCTAACCATATAAACACAGGCAGCTTTTTCTCCAAACTGACCGGTCTCCTTCAGGTCACTGGCTTTGGTGCGGGCCTGTCGGTCCCTGGTGCTGTCGCCCCCGTGTGGATCGTCCCTGCAGGTGAAGATCATGAGGCGTTTGTGCGAGAGCCGCAGCTTGATGTCGCTGTACAGGTTGGCGCAGCACCACAGGGCGTCGCCCAGAGACGTCTCCCCGCTCCCCAGGGTCTGCGCCGCCAGCTGCGCGCCTTTCTCGCCCCGCAGAGCATTCACGTCCTGAACCCGCTCCGCACCTGAAGGGGCACAGGTTTAACGTCTCACGCTGTAACTTTCCCCTTTTCGTCGCCGTGCGACCTCTGACCTGGTTCGTCGAGATCGTGGTACACGTAAACGTGTTTGAATGAGTTCCTCTGGTTCTTGCTCTGCTCTGTGCCGTAAAACACCAGAGCCACCAGGTCCCGGTGGCTGCTGATGATCTTACTGGTGTACACGCTCCGCACGACCTACGGCAACACGAGATGCGGATGAATTCTTCTCAGCAACTTGAATATTTGAAAAGATTTCAAGAATGTTTCACTGAAAACACATAAAGATGTGAGTTTTTGGTTGTTTTAAGGGAATACAGAAGTAACAGAATATCAACAGGATGAAAAAAAGCTGAAGTTCTTACCTGCATGGTCATGTCAAAGTTAGAGGGTTGTCCATCTTCGCCTTTGACGAACATTTCCTTTGAAGCGTCGACCAAGAAGACCAGGCTGTCTCTGCCTGACACTTTGTAATCTCCTGTCATAGACAGACACGTGCTTTGGTTTGCAATATTTTGCCTTCAACTTTTCTAAAATCCAGGGTGCTGTCATCATAAAGAACACGAATAAACACTTTAAAAAGAGAAACTTAATAAAAAAAGCCAAAATGCTAGATTGATTAGTGGCATTTTGTGATGTCACCATGACCTTGTGATTGTAGAATCTCGAACTTATTTTCAAGAGAGGGGTGGATGGAAGTATGGAAAGTGCGTGCCTGAGGAAAGACTGCGCTTTAAGTTAGAGCTATATGTTGGGGAATGTCAAATATGCTACTGTGTGGCACAACACACATATGTGCAGTCTGGAGGTATATCAAAGAATAACCGTTTGTCACAAGCAAGGTGCACAGAATATAATCTCTTAAGCTAAATATGAACTACAGCAGCAGAAGAGCACACTGGGTCTCTCTCCATCAGCTAAAGAGATGAAATTCACAACTTAAAAATATTTGATCATAACAAAATTGGAATAATGTTGTCTGGTCTATTCACTTCAGCTACAACATTCAAATCAGAATTTGGCACAAGTGATGGTGTAGTACCTTAGGAATTTGCTGCTGCAGAACTTTATGCCTTAATAGTGACCCATTTTCTGATGACCATTTCCACCATATTAACCTACGTCAATCTGTTTTTGTTGTTGTTTAAATCAAGACGATTAGTTCACTGGACTCAGGTATGGATCTGGACATATCAGAGTGATGGCAGGCAGCTGGCTCAGACATGGACGTGGCCCGGTTTTACCTCCAGACAGCTCCGCTTCCTCTTGTTCTTGCTCCTCGTCCTCATTCTGGTAGAAAGCGTTCCACTCCGCCATCTGGCCAGCTTTCAGCTCTGCACCAGGATGCAGTCATTTCAACAAGACATTATTCACCCATGCTTCGTACGTAAGCAACGTTGCTTACGCAGAAACTTCGTATTCACAAATCCATTCCAATGCTTCAACTGTTGTGCAGCAAAGTGTTAAGCGAAACTCTCCAATACGCACGTTGACACTACACGCAAGTTAGAAATCAGCTAAAATTTACTTAGTGCCATTTTTACCACTAAAATAAAACCAACTTAAGCCTAACAATAACGCTAGCTAGCTAGCTTAACGTAACCAATCTATGTTAATAAACTGGTAACTTCCACCTCCTTTAATGACGCTTTCGTCTCCCTAGTGATGCGTATAAACTATATCAACTAAAATAAACACAAGAATAAGAGATACTCAGTGGTACTCATCACTTACCGCGCTCCACAACTTACAAGTCCAGGCTAGTTTCAATGGGAGATCAGGTACGTGAACGCGCCAGTATGGAAGCGAAGTGGTGCCAAAACATCTTTTTCTTCTTGTTTTTTGTTTTTGTATTATCGCCATCTACTGTGCTGGAGTGTAAACCAGAGTATCCGTCTTACCTAATTAAACTATATTCTTGAATATGTATTCCCATTTCCTTTAGAAATGTAATAAATATTTTCTTTATCTTTTTATGTTCAACCAATGCCCTAATATTTCTTTAATTCTTGTTTTAAATCTCTCTCCACACACACTATGTTGTTCACATTAAATTTTATGTTTTACTGTCCATGCCACATTTACCTATTGAATGATTACCCTCAATGTTGGCTACAACCTTGCATGTTGTAGCTGTAACTTTGTAATCGCTGCTTGTTCTTTTCAACTTCCTTCAATTGTTTCAATTCTCCCTACTTTCTTCTGTGTGCAAAACAAATATTGATCTTTAGTTCCTTCCTCCCAAAGCTGCTGTCATCCAGATTTAACTTGGTACTTGATAATAAATTTTATTTCAGATTTACTAAAGGCAATTTCCATAATTCTAACTTTTTCCAAATACAATTTAGCTAGATGATCTGCTCATCATTTCCCTCAATGCCTTTATTAGCAGGTTAAGACATAAACCTAAACTTTACTTTAACTTGTGTAAGTCTAAAAAAAATGTCATAGTTGAGAATGGTTTTTGGACAAGAAAGACAAAATAGAAATCCTTTGAGCTATATAACAAGACAGGTTTACATAAACTCTTAATTCTATTACTTACTAAATCTACCCTGTTACAATCTTTATTAATCTGGACTTCTTTATGGATATCTAAAGTCTACACTCACATTGGGAAGCAAACAAAGAGGAGATGCCAAATTGTCCTCTTGGGTTTTTCCTTTTAATTTCAAATGTTGGCACATTTTCTTGCACGTTGTTTTTTGTGTACAATATTTTTATGTAAATTACAGATTAGTAAATAAAGTAGTTTAATAACTCACACGTTCTAGTTCACATGTAACTGTTTTACACATAAAAAATAAGTCTTTATATGAAAATATTTGGACATATACAGTACACAGCGTAAGACTGAAATCATCGTCATCAGGGCTGGTCCAGGGTTGTATGGGGGCTAAAGGGCATTGTGTTTTGGCACTGCCAGCCCTCCATTCACGTTAAAGAAGACTCGGTTCTTGACCAATCACAATGAAGGGGATGGAGTTTATTGTGCAGAATGCGGAGGCACTTTTTGACAGTCATGTTATGATTACATTAAGACAGTGACACAGCACTGACTGTCTTCGCCCATCAATCTCAGGCTGGATTTAACTCAATTTTCCTTTTTTTTTTTTTTTCCTGAAAGATAAGTCTGCACCTCGTCGTTATTCCTATAACACTGCTTCCACTTTTCGTATTCTGTTGCTAGCTAGCTAGCCGGAGGTCAACTTTTGTCGAGTCAGTCAGGCAACTTCGCCGTTGGTTTCAGTTGGAAAGGACTCCTTGTTGCACCATGGCCCAAAACAACTCTTTCCCGGTGAAACTGTTCATTTACGACCTGTCCGGGGGAATGGCTCGCCAGCTGAGTCCTGTTATGCTAGGTACGTTTGTGACTTTCTTCCTTGTTATGAAATACGCTGAAAACGATCGAGAATGAGCCTAAAGCTATATAATCTTATACATTACTGATATACTGTATGTGTTCATCTTCACAGGGAGACAGTTGGACGGCATATGGTGAGTATATTTCTTGAATGACAGCTTGTTATCCAACCTTTCATTTGGTAACAAGACGTGTTTTTGCTTCTTTTTTTTGTTTCCAGGCACACAGGTGTTGTTGTCCACGGAAAAGAGTTTTTCTTTGGTGGAGCAGGAATCAACAACTGCCTACCTGTAAGAATCATCTCCATATTTTCAGTAATGGATCGAAACTTGTGTTTGTTTCCCAGCTCGGCGTCCACTAAACGTTTGAAATGTGTGTTCTCTTTTCTGTCAGTGTGGCACTATACTGGGCCAGCCGAACTCAATAGTGGATTTGGGTTACACCGAGGTGAATGAAGATTTGTTTCAGGAGTATCTGGACTCGCTGGCTGAGTCAGAGTACAGGTAAAGACGTAGCAGCTGACATTTAAGTACACACAGTGGACCTCAATCTGGTTAGAATAGGAGAATGATATAGAAAAAACCCTGTGATAACCTGATTGGACGCCCTTAAACCCGTCTAGTTGATGCAGCTTTCTTAGTTTACATCTGCCAATCTGTTCTGCAAATCTTCTCATTTGAAACTTTTAGCTAAAACCACAGATTGCAAAGATATCAGTCAGGAGAAGGGTACAAAATTACTCCACAACACTATCAACTGTATTCACCACGGCACAGTGAAGGCAGGAGAAAATAGGGTACAAGGGTAGACGTAATAAGGGTTGCAGATTTCCTTCCTCTCAAAGAAAACATCCAGACTTGGCTGAAATCTCATGAAACCTCGCGCAAGAATGTATTTTGACCTGGCGTGACGAAGCTGGACGTTTTAGGCTAGGATTCCAAATGCTGCATTTTTCACAAAGGAAACCTGGCGGGGGCATCATCACGCTCTGGGGTTTCACGAGCCTAGGGGTGCACTAGTTGCAGTTTTCTGGCCGATTATCAACCTTTAAAAAAATGTGTAACATATTTACTAAAAGACATATTAAAATAGGACACCATCGTTTTGGACAAATAAGTAATTTTACTGGATGACTTTTAGTAAAGCTGTTTTGAAATGTATCTTGTTGCAGTGCATTGCCAAGTCAATGTCTTTGTTGTTTTAATTTATTAATTAAATGTTTCATTTTTCCTTCTCGCCTTTCTCTCTTCTTGGCTGAGTTACAATTTCCCCAAAATATAATATTGTTTTTCCTCTTCATTCTCCCTCATCGAAGAGGCGACAAGTATAACATGTTTGAGCACAACTGCAACACCTTCAGCAACGACGTGGTGCAGTTCCTCACCGGTAAAAAGATCCCGTCGTACATCACAGACCTTCCATCTGAAATACTCTCCACGTAAGTTTTCACCTCCTCCTCTCTGGGTAAACCATGTCTAATTTGTTTGTCAAATATTGCTGTCGCAACTTCTTAACATTCTTTGCTGTTGGAGAGCATCTGTGAACGTTAAGCTTTTGCGTCTCATCACAGATGCTGAATCAGATTTGGATCTGGACTTTGGGCCATTCTAGCACATGAACGCATTGTGATAAAGCGCAAAGTGAAAGTAGAGGATTAAAGTAGTGAAGTGGTGATTTGCTCATCTCAAACAATACTGAACCAAAAAGCCAACAGGAGTGGAGCTTCTGATCCTTCTTTTAACAAACTCAAACTTTAACAGATTGTTCTACCTGAGCTGTATGTCTCCTTACCTCCTCCAGAGCTATCATGGACTTATTGTTTGCCACAGAAAGTCCCAGTAAAATGCATTAAAGTTTGTGTTTTGTAAAATGAAAAAAATCAAGAGGCACTATAAAGTTCTCTAAGCGAATGATTGTTTGGATTTGTTGATACGTTTTGACTTCAGTGTCCCTCTCCCTGCGTTCATTTTGCAGTCCGTTTGGCCAGGCCATCCGGCCACTCTTGGACTCCATGGCCGTGAATCCAGGAGGAAACAACATCACTGGACAGCGATAAATAAAGCTATGCATACAGAAGAACACACTTGATAACCTTTGTGCCAGCAACCTCTGCTACCAGTCACATTTGCAGCGAAGCTGCTGTCATCAGGGCCCTTTACTCTACTTAAAAAAAAAAAATCACCTTCAAGGTTTGTTTCTGCATGTAAGTGTATTGCTAGGACTACCTGCAAACGAAGCCTGTGGACAAAAAACAAACAAAAAAACATTTTCACTCTTTACGTTAGCTTTTGTTCATAAACTTACTTCCACTTGCTCAGCCAAAAATCTGCAGAATATTTTTGAAATTGTCTCATTAAAGACGAGATTTGTCGAGCATTTCCTTAAGGTGCTTTGTTAGGTAGAGGTTTTAACATCAAAAACTTTTATAAAACATCTTCCTGCCATGTATTGAACTTAATCTATAACCGGGATTTATCTTTCGAGTGCAGTACAAAGTTTCTGTTACTAAATGTTGGCCTTTTTCTGTCTCTCTAAATGGGTGAAACATGGATGTTGAGCTTACGAATAAAATAAAATGTAAAAAAACTTAGCTAGCTTAGCTACACAGCTAGCTACGTATCTAGCTAGCTACCGGGTCCACTTAAACACATTGTGAAGAAGCAGTTTAAAAATCAACTTTATCTAATGGTTTCCCTTTAGAGTTTATGAGGACAGTTTGTTTTTTAGCTTCTTATAAGTATAAATTAAAAATCTATGAAGTTCTTTACTGCTCAGGTTGTGGTATTATTTTCATTTTATTCCTAAAGCTCAAATGCAAGGGTTACCCTCACTGGGGAAAATAGCTTAGTCAAAACTGTTCTGCTGGCTTTTTATAACATTGTCTAGGAAACCTGTTTTTACCAATTTTAAGGTATCTTTAAAATGTATTTAAAAAGCACTTTAAAAATCAGACATCATATTTGAACCTCATGTCATTTAGTAACATCGTTTTTTGCTTTTTTTTCTGAAAACTTCTGGACCAATCTGCTACATACCTCTGATTTGCTACATTTGGATTTTTATTATTAGCACATAATGTTTTTATGCACTAAGTACCAGAATCAGGTATTTGTACGAAGAGGCCTTATCAATGCAGTTGAAACAACATCAAGTTCATCTGAAGTAGTTTTTTCTTTTGGACTCTTGTTTAGATCCTAATCATAGCTTTAATTTTTCGATTACGACTATAAATTGTGTGCAGGTCACTGTAAATGAAAAAAATATATATATTAAAGATTAAGTATACAATACCTACAGAAGGCTGTAAGGATGAAAAGAACAGGCTTTACATGTTTTATCTTATTTAAATGTTATTAATCCCAATTTTAAGTGTGAAGTTGTGTAAGTGAAACGTATTCTAAAATGATGCTAAAGTATCTCTTTCGCAATATGGGTTTTGTTAAATGTTTGAAAATGAAGCTCTGATTCTGAACTATTAAAGTCTCTGCTAAAAGCTCTCCGTCTTCCTTTTATGTTGAGAAAAACATTCCGTTTCACTGCATTACGTGAATTTTGTGTCCATGTAGTACGAAAAATGACCACAAGATGGCTCCACAGTCAAACTTAATATGTAGGAACTTTGTTCAGGGATTGTAAATGCATATTCCAGTGTATCATAGTACATAATACAACAGAAAGCACGATATTAATAAGTTATAACCCCTCAACAAAACCTTTTAAAAACATTTAACATAAAAATAAAATAGACAAAGCCTCACATATATTATACAGTCTTTACTATTTCATCTTTAAAAGTGGCATCCATTTCTAAACAAAGTCTTATAAAGAACATTTTGGGTATAAATTAGTTGTAAGAAGTACAGATGAATACAATATATATATGTACACCCTTTTCTGCATATTGTCACACCAATGTGCTGTATTGATGTTTTGCATTTATATAACACAATTAACATTTATCTGTCATGTATTTTTTTTTAAATTATGCTACAGTAGATTAGCTTCAAAGTCTTGGAAGCAAGCTTTCACATGGCAAAGCCTGCAAGTTCACAAAAACGGATGCAAATATGGATCTTCTGCAGGTCTGTTCAAAATCTGTTATATTTTGAACAGGAACATTAATACCGTTTACATTTGTCCCGTTTTCCTCTGTTCTATAAATATTTTCATTTTTCACAAAATTGCACATAAGAAAGTTACACCACTCGTCAATGAACAGTCATTCTGAGCCTGACATGGAGTAATGTTACTGCAGTTACAGATACTTGTTTACAGCCCTTATAAAAGAAAGGAATACCTTTACATAAACAGTGATTATAAATAGCAGGATTGTTCTAATTTGATGCACTTCCTCAAACAACAAAGGACAATGTGCATAAAAGAAATTGTAATCTACACACATGGTAAAGATTTTTTTTATAAACACACAACAAACAGGTTAATGAGTTTACCAAAGCAGATACAAAAATGTTTTTTTTTTTTTTTTTTTTTTTACAGTGATAGAAAACATTTCTCCCTGAAACTGGGAAGGATGCTAAGACAATTTTTAGAGCATTAATAAACAGGAAACATACACAGAACTCCTGCATCGATGCTCAGAAAAATGGGATGCAGAGAAAGATAAACAAGAGTTTGATTTATTTTCTGTCACAGCACTTATAAATACTCCAGTGATTACAACTAGTGGTAAAAAGCAACCAAATCATCAAAAAACATGGAATATAGGAGTTTTTGAAAATACTTCAAACCTGCAGTAAGCTGTTTTGAACCATTAAGATGAAGATGAGATTCTGATTGGATGATGTGAGGAATGAAACAGGATCTGGATTTCAGTTTGGACAAGAACGGATCCACATTGAAACATGCACTGGGTTTTTACCAATAAATCAGGCGAATCATTTCTGGGTTTAGGCCAATAAGGATGACTAAAAATATTCCCCTTTTTTAATCATCAGATTGTTGAGGCATCTTTTAGATACATGTTATTACTGTTTTTAGAGTCAGATTATGCCCTTTAATATTTTTCACAAGTCATATGTGATTCTAGTCGTCAGCTGGAAGGAGATGAAGATGTGCGACAGACAGAATGACAGTTGTCTTAATGGTTAGCGTTAGCTATTGATCATTTTTTATGTGTTAAAGAGACCAACTTCATCTACCACTAATATTTTTGAGGGTTTGGCAGTTTAGCATTAGCTTCTGCTAGTATTTTTGTGTTTAGTAGTATAGGGTTAGTTTCTGCTAATATTTTTATGTGTTTAGCGGTTTGTCATCTTGAAAAATGGCTGCTTTGTTAATTTTTTTCAGTTGCTCACAGTTTTTCAGTTTTGTTTTTTTAAAAACAAGCCCCTGGGAACATCTTTACCAAGTTAGGTTCTTGTATCCGCATGTGAAAAATTTTGCTAACATCTTCAATTACCTGCTGCTCTACAGTTAAAAAGTACTTGTAAATCCGGTTGGCTCAGCTTAGAACAAAACAGCATTCATGCTGCCACCCAGTCCCAGTTCACTTTTTCAGTAAACTCTGTGTTCATGTTTGTGATGGTAGGTATGGCTGTCGTGAAGACTTGGTGACCCCAAGTGATATTTCTGAAAATAATTATTTCTTGAAATAAATAAATGAATTTAAATCAATGGTTGGATTTTTTCCTAAATATTTCAGTGAGATTATGCTGCTACAATAGCAGAATAATTCATTCTAATCCTCTTTCAACGTCTTACCCAGGAGTTGATAATTAACAATTCAGACTCTTTTTTTCATGTTGCGTCTCACCTGAATTGTTTTTACCTAATTCCAAAACTCAGAACCAACGCAAAAGAATCACTGTTTTATAAAAACAAAACAAAAAACAAAATGAAAATCTGCCAGAAAAAACAACAGAAATCTCATTACCGAATCTCATGGGAAGCATTCCTGGATGGATGTGCCGAACACTGCAACGGTTCCTGCGGGTTTCGTCCGCTGTGAAGTCCAGTCGAGGGATTCCATTAGCTGCTGCGTGAACCTAGCAACAGCTGCGTACAACGTCCTTTGAAATCCAGGCCGCATCAAATAAAAGATGTCAAATCCTCCAGGTCTGGAATAACAACCCGCGGGTCAGAAATCACACACAGGCATCTACACACTCGGAGTTATGACTCAGACAGTTCAGGAGTGAAAGACCCACATCTACACCGACTTCCTTTCCTTTCCCCCTCCGAGGAAGGAAAACACGTAGCAATGTACGTTTTGTTGTTCTATTTTCCTCTACTCTCTACCTCCTTTATTTCCTCTTTCAAAAGAGTTTTAGCCACTGGCTCCTTCGCTGTCCCCCCACCCCTCTCCTGTTGGGATGGAGGCTGATAGAAACTGACATGACGGTGGAATTGTCCTCACCATCGAGTTAATGTGACCCAGGGGAAGCTGTCCATGTACGCTTGGCCTGATTGCAAAGGATGCAAAGTGTGTTTTATTGTGGAAAATCTGGGAAAAGGGCGACGGATTGGAGGTAAACTGAAAGAAGGGTGAGTGAAACTCCTCAGCTGTACAATACACCGTTTTTTAAATCTCTCTAAACCATAAGCAACACAATTTCAACAAACTGTCCTCATTGGACGAGCAGATTTTCAAACTTCTTAATCGTCACTAAAGAATCAAAACTTACTCCGATCACTCCGGGATGCTCATTTTATTTACTAGACGAGTCGCATAGTTTGGAAAATGCTCTTTTTTCTGACTGAAACGTTATCTTACACACTGATTTTTTTTTTACTTCTTTTTCATTTTTTTTTGTTTTTACTCAAGGTCATGAATGAAGTGAAAATTTGACAGAAGTCAGCCCCATAAAGCAAAGCTAAAAACATGTCTAAAGTTGCATAAACCTCTACACTATTTGAACAAAAATAGTTGTTTGCATCTATTAAGTTAAAGAATCAATGTATATTTGACCGTTTTATTACTATTTTTATGTTTCTTAACAGTGCAACAAAAGAGACATGAAAGAAAAAAAAGGAAAAAAAAATACCCTTGTTGGTTAAAGGAAGTTGTCACTTCAATGCCTTGCAGAAGTATTCACACTCTGAAGCTTTGAGTCGCTGCCTGTTAGAACCTGGCTGCAGTTACAGCTGCAGGTCTTCTGGGCCGTTTCTACCAGCTTAGTTCACCTGGAATCAGAAAACGCTTTTTTTATTTTTTTTTATTCTGAGATTAAATTGGAAACAAAAGAGGACTTCTCAGGGGAGTTGAGTTGATTGCGCAGGATTTTATTTTGGGGTGTCTGTGTAAAGTGGCCAAAAATTTACTTGTTATATTCTTATTTGTAAAAAAATATAGATATAAATTTAAAAAAGCTATAACATTTCCTTCTAACTGTACCCATTATGTTGTTCTATTACATAAAACCACATAAACTACACTGAAGGCTGTGATTAAGTGACTAAATATGACATAATTCATAATTCAGGTGCATGATTCCTTATTCTATTGCCCCCTATATTTATTGAAAATGCATAAAATAAACACCATGTTTGAATTATAAAACTCAAAGGAGCAGTTTTATATACATAAGCCCAAAACATAGGCCAGTTTGTACACAGGCTAACTATAATTTACTATGTAACTATTTCTGAAATAAACCTTTATTTACTTCAACTACCTGGAGACTACTTTATTTTAAGAATGAAAATTGTATTTAAGAACTACTATTAATGACAAAAACTGTCCAGTTTCTCAGATAGTTTGAATTTCTTTGGACAAACAAGTTAGCAAAAAGGCTAGTACTAATATTGGCGTGTATGCTAGCTTTTCAAATGATTTGCTTGACAACCTGATCACATTATTATAAACACAGAAACAAAAAGCAATTATAGTAAGCCAATTTTGAATTTTATATGCTTCATCCATTGGATGAGATACAGTACATCTTTCTGCATCATGGTTTATGTTGATGTAAATAGCATATTTCATTAAAAAACAAAGAAAAATGCTAAAATTTGCCGTTTCCTCTTCTGTTATGAATATATACTGGGTGTTTCTGTGTTTTTTGTGTCAAAGCTCTGGGCTGTACCAGACTCTGGTAAAATGAGAACCCATTGTTTAATCTCAGATTTAATATGATCAGCTGGTTAGCTAGGCAGCTAACTCCACCGGAGTTAGAGCTCCATCTACTCCCAACTCTGCCAGATTGCATAGCAGTGTTACTGATTCACTATCTTTACTCCAGGCAAGAAACCATAATATAAGTTCCCTAAAATGTGGTTCTTTTTTGGATTTAAGGAACTAATTACAGTGTGACTAGTTGGTTTAGTCTCATACCTGGGCTAGCTACCAGAACCTTTACTTGGCTAACACAAGTTTGGAATTTGCTCCTCTGACATCCATATTAAAACCAAAACATTAAAAATAAAAACATGTTTGTGGACAAAACCAAGCTCCGACTTCTAAACTATAGACAGAGAAACATTGGTTTTATCCAGACCGGATCTCTACAGGGCTTGATCAACTGTAATCCTGTGATATAGCAAAACTGCAGCGGTTGAACATCTACAAGCCCAATGCAGCAGAGAGGAGCCTGAGTAGCAATGAGTCTGTCTCCTGGTTTTTTCCCACTAATTGAAAATCTGAGCTCTTGTTTTTTCATGTACATTGGAAGGCGTGTCCTTGCTTAACCCCCGGTCATGTTGGACTGTAAGGAAGTGCAGTACCTGGCTCGCTCCAAAGTTTTTCTTGAGTTTAGCATTGTGGTAGGTCACTCTCACTGAAACACTCAGACAGTCACCTCGGTGGCGCTGTGGGTGGAGTAGCTCTTCTGCCTGGTGTGGTTGTAGTATGGGGGTTGAGAAGTGTGCTGGCTGTGGCCGTGGTGACCCTGCCCTCCTCCTCCGTACATACCTCCGTAGGACTGGTTAACCACTTCTTGCAGGTTCTCTATGCTCTGCTGCCGCCGTGTTGAGTAGCCGTGTCTCCGGGTGGAGCTGTGCAGAGAGGAGGAGGTGTGCGCCGGAGCGGAGGTCTGTCTGTGGACGTGGCGGGCGGCCGGCTCCCAGGCTTTGAAGGCCGAGTTGGAGATGAACGGGTGCGTGGTGGTCTTGGGGAGGCGCGAGTGCTCCAGGTGGTTGGACGGAATGGAGATGGACAGAGGGGTGTGGAGGTCGCGGTGCCCAGGCAGAGGCTGGTGGATGTAGGACTTCTCCTTAGGCTGCAAGGGCTGGAAGGCAGGAGGCGCTGCGGGTTGGTAACTGGAGAAGTCCATGACAGGAAAGCTCTTATAGTAGCTACGGGAAGCGGTTTCGGCTGCATAGGGAAACACAAGAAATATTTCACTTTCAGATCAACTCCTCACTGAAAAAGTTTCTAGTCGAAACATTATGAAATTGTTTAAGTTTAACATTATCATGACTGTAGTGGTTTTATCTTCCCAAACGTTAGCATGCTACAAACAGCATTAGCTTCAAGGTTATTTTCTTGGGTACAATTTTAATCTTTTTTTCCTAATGGGGATAAAGAATGGTGTTTTTATTTCTATATATATATTTATTATTATTCTCAGCCTTAGCTTTTCCCACAGAAAGAACATTATTCTTAAATAACTGCAACAAATGAAACAAATGAATTTTCATTTGATAATTAGGCCAACAGTGGAAAAACTTTTTTTTTCTTCTATTTGGCCCCTTTAAACTTGTTTATTCTTTGGAGTCATGTTGAATTTGTCACAGTGTGTTTCAGCGCTGAGTCATATGGAAGCAGCCCTAAACGTACCGTCCATGTGAAAACACAGTCTGTCTTGGGAAGAACACCCATCTCTGAATCACACTTAATCCGCGATGCGCTTAGCTTCATCGCCCTCAGAGCCGAAACTTTTGTTTGCCAACACAAAAATGAGGTTTTCGTCAAGTTTTTTTATTTGTCTGCACCTGCTTTTCAAATCATTTGTTTAGGGGGAGATGAAAGCGTAGTTCCTCTAGCAGAGTTTGATTTTGTTTTTTCAGAAAATAAAGAAGTCTGGATTGGAATAAAAAAAAAAAGAATAGAAAAGAAAAAGAAGGTCAAGATGAGAGGAAAGGTTTGAAAAAGATCTGAGGGTTTTCAACTGTTTGCCCTAAAGGTGAGCCAGCAGCTTTACTCATCCTCTGCTGAGACCTTGGCAGCATATGGCAGCCTAAGAAGGACAGACTTCCTGAAAAGTGCAACGGAGACGATGAACGTGAAGATATGCGTGTCGCACAGTTTCATAAATCCCCCCATCATAAGTCTAAAAACTGTCTGTGAATATTTGTCATTCTAAAGCAGGAGAGACGGATCATTTAAATGAACCAGACTCCACAGTCATCCCTGCATCAAGTCTAAGTCTAATTACAATACCCGCTTTATTTCATTTAAAGCAATTTTGAACCATCTTTTACTACCTAATTAGATTATTGCTTGAATGGAATGACATTTATGAATCAGATTTTGAAGCGTCTCATGTCGTAAGTTGAATCTAAAGGCTCATCCTTTCTAAAGAAAAAAAGCTAAAATGTTGTAGAAACGCTTTAATTTTTAATAACAGCCTCTAATTACAGCTGTTTGATCATTGTGGTGGTAAACCCTGTCGCTTCCATTTTCCCTGTTGATATTTTTAAATATAAACTAAAATATTTGGCTACATAAAAAAAGTACAAAGCTACTGGAATAAATATTATTTTGGTGTAAAACATCTGAATTCCCCTTTTATGTAATTTCTCTAAGCTTTGCATCACCTGACCTTGTGGTAAACCTGTGAAGTTTTCATGGTGGAGTTATGGACCACAGCCACCGACGAACAGCTGAAATTCACAAAAACTTGAGACTGTCTCTAAAAATGCTGATGACTTCCTATTTTAATAGTTCAAACACCAAACATACCTTAATATGAATCGATACACGCAGTGGAAACTTTCTTACCCCAGAAGCTAGCATCCATTTCTTTTTTTAGAGTACAACTTTTAGGTGTACAGCCTATCAGCGCCAAGTAAAACAAATGGCGCTCCTGGATTGGCTGCTTTGCAAATGCCAACAGACTTTCAGTGCTTTTGAAAACATTTTTTAAATCATTTACATTCAGCACTCCTTTGTAAAACCACATTTTCTCTACAACTACAGCAGCAAGTATTTTGCTCAGACTGGCTAAATCAGAAAATGGTACAACCTCTCCTACAGAATAATTACTATGCTCGCCAAAAGGGGAGTTTCTACTTGGAAAAACAGCAAGATTTTAGATCCCTGTCGTTGATAATTAGTGGAAAAATGATGCCATGGGCAACATGTAGAGTTGAGTCTTTAAGATCAACGCCTGGTGTGTCCAGAGGGAAAGGCAGCCTCTTCTTTATGCGGGTCATGTACTGCTGTCTTAAGACTACTGTAAAGGTTACTGTGTCGGTTGCAGTCAGCATCATTTGGAGAGTGTGAGGGTGTTTGCCACTTACCCACAGCTTTGAGGGAGGCGTACTTGTTGAGTCCCAGTGTGCTGTGGTTATTATGCGGCTGCGGAAGGCCCTGTCCAAACGCACCGTAGGCTGCGTTATTCAGCTGGTGCTGTTCTGTTAAGAGACACACACACACGTAAAAACGTTAGAAAACATACAGTAATATACGCACGCTGGCGGTTTCTGATATGGGCGACATTGGCAACCGCACAGGGCAGCATGAGGCATGAGCATCCTGGAAATGTCTGAGTTTCTTCTTACAAATTTTTGACTTTTCAAACTCAGAGATTTCTTAGCTTTTTTCTAGAAAATTTCAGAGATTAACCTCAGAATTTGATTTTTTTTCTTGCAAATTTTAACTTTTCTAACTATGAAATTTCCAAGATTTTTTTTTCTAGAAATCTCAAAATTTCAGAGTTTTTTTTCTCAGAAATGTACTCCTTTTTTTTTCTATCCACACTGGCCCTAACGTGGCGTCGTTTTTTCTGTAATTCCTTCACCCGTTTCTGCAGCAACCTCGACTCTGGTCTTGATAAAGTTTCATCAGTAAAATACATGCTAACTAATGTTGAATATAATATTTGTATGTGTTTTCATGGCAACATTTTTCATGGGAAAATGAGGACAGAACAAAGTGGAAAACATCACAGGAGTGTAAACATATTGACTGCTGTGTTTTCAGGTCTTTACTTCACTCAAACCACAACCTCTCTTGTCTATTTATTGCATAAGTAACAGTGCACAGCAGATGAGACAGCATTCCTATGGGATATTCAGCATAATAACATAAAAAATAATAATAAAGAGATAAAAAGAATGTATAAAAATCGGAGTTAAGGGCAGTTAAACAGCGCATAATCTTAGCATTCAAACAGCCTGAGGCGGAAAGCTCTGCAGCAGTCTGGCGGTTCTGTTTTTGATGTTGCGTTACTGTTTTTCTGATGGCAGCAGTTCAAAAAGTTTAGGGAGAGGATGTGAAATTCAGAACATCAACACAATGTCTCTGTAGAATGCTGCTGGGATGCTGGAAGGTAGTGATGTTTGTTTCACTTCCCCCTTTCCTTTACGGCAGCTGTGTTCAAAGTGTGGGTGGCGGGCCCATTTGAGACCATAAGAATGATTCTGTGTGGCCTTCGCCTGCATTTCAACAATAATACAGATTTACATATACAACTGCAAGCGATCCATAGAAAGAGATTGTTGTAGTATGCTGCAGTTTAAGGGCCAAAATTAAGACTATTGCACACCACTACTCCTTCCTCATGACAGTAGGTTGTATCCATTCCAAAGCTAGCAGCTGAGCTGATTAATTATAGGCAGACATCAGTAACTGAACGGCCAGCGAATGAGAAATGAGAAGGACTAGTGACTAGCATTTCTAGATTGGTCATGCTCTGAACTGCCCTCCTGTCCATTAGGATGTATAGGCTAGCGTTAGCCTTGGATGTGGATAGGTTAGCCTTTAATAAGCTACTGTTAGCCTTGGATAGGCTAATGTTAGGTTTTTATATGCATATGTGTGTCACTTTGCATATCAAAGGCTTTTAACACTAGTCCAAGATTAGGCTAGTGTTAGCCTTGGATAGGCTAATGTTAGCCTTGGCTAGGCTAGTGTTAGCCTTGTATAGGCTAATGTTAGCCTTGGCTAGGCTAGTGTTAGCCTTGTATAGGCTAATGTTACCCTTGGCTAGGCTAGTGTTAGCCGTGGATAGGCTAATGTTAGCCTCGAATTTGCTAACATTAGCCTTGGTTAGGCTGACAGCTTGCATGCACAGGCTGGCCACCTGTGACTCGTAACCTTTTTCTTTAAAGAAAACTTTATCAAGAAAAATAGTTGGCTTACAATATCTGTAAGCGTCAAACATCAGAAGCACTGATGTGTTCTTTTCATTGAGTTTACTGTAATTCAACATGACAACAAGCATAGTATAGGCTTGCAATAGCCTTGGGTATGCATATATTAGTCTTGAAGAGGCTACTGTTAGCCTTGGCTATTGTTAATTAAAGCTAACTCTATTGCGCTAGCGTTAGCCTTGGTTAGGCTGACATGCCTAAGCTGCTCACCTGCGACTCGTGAATTTTATCAAGAAAATGGTTGGCTTACAATTTTTGCAAGCGTCAGACATTAGAAGCACTGACAAGGTCTTTTGACAGAGTTTACTGTAATTCAATGTGACACCAACCTACTGTATAATAAAGAGCTCAGGTTAGCTTTTTACTATGAGGCTGGTGACTTTGAGGCAGAGGTACATCCCAGATGGCCAACCGGCCTCGTGCCGATTGAACCGAGGTTAATGAACAACGGAACAAACGGGTGAGGAAGTAAAGCTCTGACTTTTAGCATTAATGAAGCCCACTGATGCACCCGGCGCACTTGGTGTCCGCCGCAGGGATGGATAAACACATGCACAGCACTCATGGATGCTCACAGGGACACTTAAGTATCCAGGTCATTTGAGACACACAAGATCTGCTGAATTTTTATGTCTCTGTTTAATCTAGCTTGTGTGTTCAGCTGACAGAGCAAAATGATCGTGTATTGATATGCTTTTTAAATCAAGGTCAGATGTTTAAATGTGTGCACACATTTAAAAAAAGATAAAACAGCATGGCATTGAAGACACAGTTTCAGACGGCATCTGATCCTGTCACAGCTGGGAAGGATGGAGAAATATGCGTAAGAACAGCAACTTATGAATGCTAAGTACATTATAGGCTGACATAAGAGAGAAATGGAGTGGAAATCATGAGCACAGAGAAAGAGACAGAGGGTAACTGGTTGTTCTGCTTTGTTTGTTGCTTTTTCTAAGAATTGGTGATTTTCTGCTATTTGCCGCAAATGAATGGGGTGCACTGTTCTGTGAAATTAAAGAGAATGCAAGAAAGTGTGGTTATTAAACAGCAAGCATTTGTGTTGTACCAAATATTTTCCATTGTAATGCTGCCCTGTGTTAGTTGGCTAATTCGTATCATGTTTTAACTGCAGTCATGGGCCACACAAAATCAGTCCAGGTGCTGCAAATGGCCCTCTGGCCGCACTTTGGACATCCCTGGTTGAAATGTGGGAAAAATGGGGAAATATTCATGGGATATGAACGATTTATAAAGGTGATGTAAACTACACCAAGCCGATTTTAATATTTCTGTTTGTTTACTTTTTTGCTTAGTTATAAGAACCTGAATATAAAAGTTCACCTCTGCAGATGAGGCCCTTCACCTCAAGCATCAAATGCTGAGGCTAATGTGGATTCTGAGTCATCGCATTAGAAAAAGTTGAAATGTGGAATAACTTCCTCAATTTCGCAAGCTTGAGGTGGTTTTTAGCTTTTCCGAAAAACAGTTAATGTGCTAAAGAGGAGATAGAAACACATTTGCTGAATAAGTTCTGACGTTTCCATCCATTGGTGGGTCTGCACCGGAGTAGTGGCACAAAACTCAGACATTTCAAAGTCCAAACCTTCAACAACTCAGAGGGGAGGACTATATGCTAACCTGTATCCTCTACTTACTGTTTATTCCAGTGTCAACATTATGCATAGCTTAGTTGATTCACTCTAAACCAGTAGATAGAAACAAGCCGAATTAGCATTTTCTCTCTTTTTTTTGGGACATTTTAAAAATCTGCTCAAAACTTGCTCTACAATTGGATGGAAACGTAGCTAGTGACCGTGGAGCAAACTGAATTCTTATCAAAGACAAAGAGGACAGCGGCATCATCAACAAGCTGCATGTCCAATCAGCTGCTCTGTATTAAGGAACGGAAGCTGATAGGCCAGCATTTAGAAAAAAAAGCTTGTTTTACAACAAATAAGTGTGCTTAATTTTTGTGTTTTTCTCTTAGCCAGTCGCTGAAATACTTAATAATCATTTTCTACTACTACTTTTCATGTTTAGGCTGCCGACTGCATCCAGCTAATACAGACAGAACAACTACATATTGTGAAATGATGAGATTATGATTATGAAGCATGAAGTGGTCAATTATCAGTGGGATGTTTTAGCCACAGTGGACACAGATGAGCGTAGTAACCTGAATAATGACTGATTAACAAACAACAACAATGGTTTCAAGCATTACGAACTATTCTCAGTCTACTTCAGGTAGGATACTGATTGCTCAACACAAACTAACTAACGTTGACTGTCATATGTTAAATTTTAAATACATTTTAGTTGCCCAGGGATACATGCGCGTTTCCGACTCAGATACACAAACACATAAAATATAGGTCGACATTATGTGGCCGTGCTTTGAACTGGTCTTTAGTGAATGTTCAAGACCATGAAAAAGTATTTCTTTATACGTTTTGTGTGTACCTGCCGTGGGGAAAAGGAGAGAGTGTAATGCTAAAAAAAAAAAACAAAAAAAAAACCTTGCATTCAAAGCAGGAAAAGGTGAAACTCATGTCATCAAGTGGGACTTATTACTGGGTCACTCTACTTCTGCAGTTGTCTTTTCATATTTAGGTCACTTCATTTCGCTTCCAGACTCCTTTCAGCACTGAGTCATGCTAGCTGGAGGTTTTCAGTCCAAATATTTGCCTCCCGTACAGAGATTAGAACAGGCACAGACTGCTAATGTGAGTCTTCACGGATGCAGCTCCAGAGATCTGTGACTCCTCTGACATGTCAAAGTTATGTTTCAAAACCAAACGTAACTAATGTGGCAGATTTAATGCATTAAGGAGAATGAGTAGGTTAAGTTTGGTTTTAAAAACAGGAGTTCAAAGGACACCCCATACATGTGTGGAAAGCATCTTTGGGTGTCCTATTAAAGCCCTACAGAAGTCTGAAATCATTTCATTTCATGATGTATTATAATCATCTGCTATTCTAGTTTAAGAAGAAATTTTTTTTAGGAGAAATAAATGCTTGAAAATGTCAGTATGTTTTAAAATGAACGTTTAAGTAATGTCAAACTAAACTGTCAAAAATGAGATTTATTCTCAATCGTCATATCTTAAATAAAATAAGTAAATAAATATAATTGTATGTGGCTCAGTGATAAGTCTTAAATAAACTAATATTTATTTGTTTTTATGGTCACCCCATCATTCTATATTTATTTATTAATAAATGCAGAGACATTATCATATGCTTTTTAAAATGGACTTATTTTCGTTTTAGTTCAATAGGTATTTTTAAATATATATTTTAAATTAGATACATACCAGTAAATATCCCATTAAGCTAAATATTTAGATATACCTCTTAATGTAATTAAGATGTAATTATCCAATGATGTAGTTATCCTTTTAGATTTTTTTTCCTATTTTTGCTCTCCATGCACCGCAGGGGTCACATCATGATGAATCTGAAAATCATCTTTTGACCCCCAACTTGGTGTCTCATGACCCCCTGGGGGTTTCTGGCCCCCCACTTTGGGAACCCTGGTCTAATGTCTTAAATATGCCATCAGAACGTCAAACAGCAGCGCCTGGATGTTTGTCTTCAAGTTGCTTTTCAAGTGGAGCCACGTAGGAAATTAAGCAGTAATTAAGCGATTGATTATCCTGCGCTAACTGCATTAGCTGTTGGCGCAGGTGAACAAAATAGCCTCCGTGAGGATGTACCCCTGAAAACAAGAGACTTTAGTGACACACTGACAGGCGTCACAAATGAATCCCTTCCTCCTGCTTTTGTTTCCCATGACAACGTGATTAGTTTCTGTCTCCGTATTTATAAAACCAGCGTCGGGCCACAGAGATCAGCTGCAGTCGCTCTAACAGAAACACCGATCAGTCCAAATGGGTTCAGTCACTATGTCTATTGAGCAGAACTTTTTTTCCAACGCTTTGTCTGTTGTCTCACCTGTAATGGAAAATCCAATGCTGTTCCGCTGGACTCAGCTCTGTTCTTGGGCTCCTTTATCAACGTTTTTTTTTTTTTTTTTTTTTTTTTTAAACCACCACCTTATTATCCTAAAATGCTACAGAAACTTTTGTGGACCTGATGCAAACTTTAGAGTGGAGAGAGGAAATAGTGAAGATCTAGGACAGAGTGGGTGATTCACTGTAAACACTGAGGTGTTCCAAATATGGCTGAAAGAAAAAAACAAAAAAACAAACAAAAACACAACAATATATGTAGATCACTAGGTGATGAGTTATAGTTACTGTTAAGGCAATAATCCCATTACTAATTTAATTACTTTAATTACATTACTAATTTAGCAAGAAAACCTCATATGATGAAGAGAACTTTGTCTTAAAGGGGCAGCATTAAGTGTTTTCCATGGAATTTTACAGCACACTCAAATAACTATGTTAACTTCAGTTGTTACAAAAATGCTATATATATCAAATATGATTTATAAGAAATTTTGCTGTGTGATTTAACAATTTGCAATTGGGCATCTCTCAAACATGCATGAAAGAATCAAGGTAACACTGCAGGTGTGGTTTTTATCTGGTAATAACACTATAACGTGATGTGAAGCTCAAATAAGTATATTTTATGTAATTCTGCCTCTTTAATGGTCCAAAACTTTCCCTAATTTTGTCGACTGGGTTTTTCAACATAATTACCAGAAAAATATGTTTTGCGTTTCAGGAAAACTTCTATTACTATTCAACTCAAAATGGGCAAAAATATCATGTTTCATATATGGAAAGCTGGTAAAAAAAAAAATACAGCTGTAATTGCAGGACGAATAGTTTCAATAAATACTAAGTCAAGAAGACTGAAAACAAGTGCACACCACACTTTTCAGCTTTTCATTCATGACAAAAAGTTAACTAACTGCTTTGTGTTGATTCATCACATCAAGTCCTGATAAAGTACATTAAAGTGGGTTATTAAAATGTGTCACATATGCATGAATGATCTGTTGATTGAGCACAAAGCCAACCTGAGTCCGAGTGAAACATAAGGAAAGACAAGCTGCCTAATGGGGCTCAGCTTGATTACATTAACATGATGATTATGGAGTTCAATACCAACAGACAAACGTGCTCAGGGTTTGAGTTTTGAATCCATTTCACAAATATTAATATTAAATCAGGAATAACAGAAGGGCATGTAATCTCTGTAGACGTACACATTAAAACAATATGTTTGTTTTCATTAAAGTGATTATTTTTGTTGCACAGCCTGATTCTGAAGATTGCTTATCTTTTTTAAAAAGAAGAAAAACATCTTTTGTTTTTCTTTTTTAAGAGAAACAAGAAGATATTGTTTTTTTAAAGAAACTTTATGGATTATATCTCAACTGTCTGAACTTCCACCTCAGTTAGATTTGACAGAGATCAGAATAAACAGCAGTAGTTCCATCAAAAAAACAATACTTTAGCCACAATGTGTGTTTTCTGTAATCTAACAATAACGTGGGTGTTTTTTCATGAAACCCCAAATATTCAGGGCTGACATGTTTAATTCCTCACACGGTGTCACACAGTGAGCAGTGGAGGAGCTCGTTGTGCAGGCAGACTGTTAATAAAAAAAAAAAACACGACAGCGGGGATTTGTTTAGTTATTTCCAGGAAAAGCAGCTTAATGAGCTCCTCTAAAGTTGTGCTGCCTGCTTTCCAATATATATTTATTAAAAATGACTGCAAATACAGAAAATAAGAAAAAAGACTTTTCCTAAACTTTTCAGTACTTTTTTTTTTTTTTCTTTCTTACCCGTAGACACGGATTGCATTACCTCCACCTCGAGCAAGTTCCCTTTGGAATCAATAAAATATTTTTGAATTGAATTGAGCTGAACCTTCACAATAATAAACAACATTGATTGAAAATGTACAGAAAAACAAAAACTAAAATAAATAGTTGTTATGGAGACCCTTACCATTACCGTTATCCTCTCTGTGCATTCTGGCAAGATAAACTCAGATCGTCACATTTAACGTTGATCTAATCCTTTAAATTATTAGTGATTATGGATAGTTGCATTCTAACAAATCTGTCTATGTTATCTTGTTTTTCTCTTCTAGCTAAAAAATGAGCCTTGTAGTAAAAGATTACCAATTAAAAACCCCTTTAGACTCTGAACACTTATAAAAATGTGAAGACTTAATAAAATGGATTAAAACAGAAACGCTTCAGCTACATTCATTTAAGAAATTCATAGGAGTCTCAATAATTGTATCAATGTTGATTTTTGTTTCTTAACACACACACACACACACACACACACACACACACACACACACACACACACACACACACACACACACACACACACACACACACACACACCTTTCCATAATGCAGTTTAAGAGGCAGTATTATGTATTTAAGCTTTCCATCATGTGATAATATTATTAAAGAAATACATGGAGTGTTTCCTTGATTCGTTCATGCTGGTTCCTTCAGACTAGCCAGAAGCGATTAGCAAACACCTGGTGGAACTGCTCATCAGCTGAGCTCATTATAGGAGCTACTTCTCAGTGCAACACTGGTAGAAATGTTGGTAAAGGGTTAATAGAGGAGCCATGTTGTGATGATTTCCTGAAGACGGGGTTTCAGAAAGAGATGGAGTTTTTAAAGAGACAGAGGCCCAATATCACGGCGTTATATTGCGACATCATATTTGGTGTATACAGCATTTTTTTGTGTTGACTGTGCTATAAAATAGCACTATATGCCTGGGAAAACACACAACTTTAAACTGAAGGTTGGATTTCAGACGGTGCGGTTCTGCACTCACCACTCCTGCTGCGTGGCATCCGGGCTGAGACGCCGTTGGCTCTCCCTCCGCTGGGCGATCCAGATGCAGCGTTCTCTACCGAGTTCGCCTCGCTGCCCTGCTGCTTCAGCAGGTCCGTCAGCGTCCTGCAACCCACACAAACTTATTAGTGACTGAACTGAACAACTGAAGCTACACAGAGAGCTGCTATTTGATTTAATGTTGTACAAAGACATCAAATAACTGTTAAACTTGCAAGTTTTAGTACTTCAAAGAATTTGATTTTCTACTTAATATGTCGACATGACAGAATCACATCTGTATTTAGGGCATTGCCACCCTCAACATCAACATTGTTGTCTTGGTTTATTAGTTTATGAAATAATATCCTAAGTGAAAATGTTTAACCACTGGGGTTGCCTATTTTTACCCATTCTTAATTACTAAATCACTCTAAATTGTTTGGAGGAAAGAAAATTGAGAATGGAAAAATGTTTAAGTTTCTTGATTTTATTTCTTTATCTATTTTCCTTAAAGAAATGTTCATGAATTTTCTATGGCAGGATTCAAACCCAAGATCTTATTCCTGCAAGGAAACATGGCTAACTACTGCCCCATCGTGCAACTCCTTTAAAAGTAATTTTAAAAGAAAAAGAATCTTCTTAAACATATTATGTCTGTATTTGATTTGCCCTTAGAAAACACATTAACAAAGCATTTCCAGGCTAATGCTGATTTGTGATTTTCTGTTAAGTTTGACCCAAAAAGTCCAGTTTTAATCAATTACATTTTCTAAGCACAGTAACTCATAAGACAGAGAAATGTGCTGTTTGCTGTTTGATTGAAGCAGTCCATCGTGTTCGCCTTCAGTGTCTGTGTGTGTCCTTCAGTATTTTTTTTTTTTTTGGAGCACACATCTCATCCAGCTGAACATGACTAGAGGCCTTTTTGCTTCATGACATCCGTGCAATATGGCCACATTTAGACTCTCTGGCTCTTGATGTGTTCCAGGAGCAACACATCAAATGTGACTGCACACACACTTAGTGTGTTCATACTAGTGGTGGGACTCCATTAAAATTTTTCACAGAGTTAATTGCAGGGTTTGAAATAAATGAATTAAATCCACAAATCGACAGAATTTCAATCCAAACAACATTTTTGCCACTAAATTATTGAATAAATAAAAATATAAGCTCAATAAGAAAAATATGTATTGTTTTTAATCTATTATTTATATCAATCAACCATCAGATTGTTGCAAACTGCTATTATACCAAGTCAACTTTCAGGTCTTCCAGGAATCTCTGATCGTTCATGGAGCTTCTTTAGAAATGTGAACTGTGGATGCTAACGTTAGCGTTGGGGACATCTGTGCTGCTGCAGCATGTGAAACATTGAGATGCTATTTTAGGCTAACTCCTCTTAGCACAACAATATTCTTTTCCAGCATCCAATCAGATCATTCGTTGCAGCAGAAATGAACGCCTAGTGAAGCAGGTTTGTTACCCATCGCCACTGTTAGCAGATGTCGCTTCTGAGTCGGATTTACAGACGTACGGGAAACACGCAAATCCAAACGTTCCAGTGGGAAGTGTGTGTGTATGTGTATATATATATATATATATATATATATATATATATATATATATATATATATATATATAAACTTTTAATGCGTTAAAATTTATTAATTGAATAATGTCATATGATGTTAAAATGGAACAGAGTCCAGACCTAAATCCTATTGAGAATGTGCAGTGAGGCTTCAAAGTCGATGTTTTACTACTACAGCTGTTATGTGGAACCCTGAGGTTACACACACAGAGCATAACTGACCTGACAGCTACAGCCAGGGGGCGCTTGTTCACACTCAGCCACTTCGCTCATGAGCTGTCTGCAGGTGTGATGATGCTCTGCAGTGTCACAGTCACAGAGACTGCTCCACGTTACCCTGCTGGTCATCACCTAATTACAGCTGAGTATTAAGGCAGACTAAGAGATTTTTCTTTCTTTCTTTTAATCAAGAGAATAAAGTCATAATATTATGACAAGGAAGGGATAGCATTGGCCGAATAAAGTTACAAAAATACTGGACGAAAGTCCTAAAATTCAAAGAAAGACTCAGTTGTTTGCACAATCATTTCAAAGTTCTGCTGGTGTGTTGAAATATTACAATATGTCCTATTTGTAAAACCGATATCAAATAATAACTTCACAAGATGTTTCACATTCCTCATCTTAATTTGTTATTTTTTATGTAGGAGTTATGAAATTACTACTTCATAATGTTACAACTTTAGTTTGGCCATACCATGACTTTATTCTGGTACCGTTTCATATTTGTAATGCGACTTTTCAGGTAATATTATGACTATTCTCATATCATTGTGACTTTTTTCTTGTATTATTATGACTTTGGTCTCGTAATATTGTGACTTTTTGTTGTATGACTTTAATCTCAAATTATTAGAACTTTTTTCTCGTAACATTTTGAGTGCATTCTTGTTTTATTACAACCTTACTCGACTTGTAACATCTGTTATTTTAATATTGTGGTTTAATTCCAGTATGATTTCTTCTTGTTATGTTACAACTTTGGTCTTGTTATTTAAGATATTTTTTCTACCCTGGTCTTAATACTCTGCCGTAATTGATGCATGAGGTGAATGTTAACAATCCCAATCATCAGGATGAGTGGGTTAGGGTTCAGAATCAATGGGAGCTGCATGAATAATGTTTAGGTTAGCTCTGTTTACAGAAGTATCAGGAAATTATATTCATTCATTTAAATCGATTCAGATCTCAGAGTGTTTGTGAATCCATTCCTACACACTGAGCTCTCTCAGGTTTTTGATCAGGATGCATTTCTCTGCTTACTCTACATTTGAATTGCACCACAAAGACTTAAATGTTGCATAAAAAACCCCTTTTTCTTTACTTTTAGACTCTAACACTTTTCTCTCCCTGGTCCGTTTCTACCTGGATCCAATCTAAAAATTCGTTTTATCTCTATCCTCTCTCTGCTGCTCGTCCCTCTTTGACTCACTGCCTTCAAGCTATGCTCTCTTCTCTTGGCTCACCGCTCAAACAACTTGCTGATTTAGATGTTTAATCTCCAACAAAATCTGCACCTGTCTCCAGGCTGGATGGTGTTTATAGACTTTTCATTAGAATTTCAGATGATGCCTCCAAAGGAGTTAAGCTAACCCCCTTACTGAGAAAAGAATTAGCCATAGCAAGGTGTGGCAGATAACAGTGGATTTTGTCAGACCAACACTGGAGTATATGTAAGTATACTGATTGCGATCAGAAGACAGCCGTGGTTAATCAGCTAATTTAAACAGAGAAAACATGTGAAGGTTGTTTTTTTGGGGGGGTTTTTTAACTGAACTGAAGCACACTGAATTCCACAACACATCTACATATTAAGTTTCTCAAAGTCAAGCTAGCATCTCTGACCAACTTCCCTCTCTTTCACTATTTTTTTAAATTAAAACTTTTCACAGACCTGTGAAATGCTACGCCCTTGGACCTTGTTATCTAGTAGCAAAGCACTGCAACCCTTTTCCTGTTATATATTACGAATACATTTAAGATGTAGCGTGATATGTTAACAGCTAAAACCAATGCTAGTCATCGTTAGCGATCAGTCTTGCATGCACTGCGTCACGTTGCAAAGTGACAATACAGCTACCATGCAGACTGAGTGAAGATCTCTTCTACCAGCATTTAATAAGTTATATATTTTTTATTTATCTCTTGAAAGACTGAAAATAGCTCATATTAGCTGTAGCATTTTGTGGTGGGGAGCTGAATAGGATTTTTTTTTCCCATCTGTGTTGTCTGAATTTAAACCCAGTTCTTATGACTGACATGCAAACACTGTCTCCCTCTTTTCTGACTATTCTTTACTCAGTGTTCAGTAGGAAGAATTGCGTTTATTGCAGCCAAACTGTGATGTGAAGTACGTTAAATTCTTCCACCGTCCGTCAATGCTCCGCCGATTAAATCAGCAACTGCTCTTTAGTAATCTGGATTAAATTATGTAACTGAATCTGAGCCATGTTCTCTTCATAGTTCTTAATCACATTACAGCTTCAGTGAGACGAGTCTTTGCTAATGTTCTATAACAATCAATTACCAGATTAGATCACACACACTGACTAGTTACAATTCTCATTCTCACAGTTTCACTTTTTTTTTTTTTTAACACACCAGCAGTTCACACTGCATTAAATAATTAGTATCTACAATAAGAGAATAAGATTAAGGGTTATGTTTGTGTAATAGTAGGTACAATGTTAGCGTGTGATGTCCTTTGCTAATTTCAGCATCTGTCTGCTGCTAAGAATGACCGTCTGGAAAAGTTTTACTGTTTACTAAAAACCAGGAAACAGTTCAGGCTACCGACCCTGTTGCTGATGTTTAAATTACCATGACAACACACTGCTAAAACACACATATCTCTGGTACTTCTTTATTTGTAGATATCTGTGACCTCTGGTTTAAAATAATTCTGGCAGGAAGTGTTTGCACTGCTCGTCTGCTTGTCTAAATGAAATCAGCATAAATATATTTGTTGTTGCTATAGTGTTGTGTTGTGTTGTATAGTGCTATAGTGTTGTGTTGTGTTCTAATTATGATTTCACGCCAACTATTAAACAAAAACCGGGGTTAAATGCGTCTGAATACGTGTTAAAACAAAATCTGTGACTTTCAGAACGGAAGATGCTACAAAATGCTACAATTAAAATGACCAGAGGTTTTCAAAACGTTTGGAACGGTTTGGCGTGCATGTGTGTCTCTGATGACTCACTCCTGGACACACATCTGGTCTCTGTTATTATTATCATTAGATGACGTCTGAAGGCTGGCGGTTAGACTAGATTTTATTTTAGGCGTCCAAGTTAAGTAGAGTTTGAATTCCATGCCATGCTTGCCAGAACTAAGTAAAAAAAACTACAACCAAAAACCAAATAGATGTTTAATCCATATGGACTGCCACTTTAAAAATGTGGTGGTCTATTACATAAAGAGACAAAGATTGCAAAATGATTGTGCAAATACAGAAACACACTTCTGAAAATCAATTTGTAGAAACAAAGGTAGAGACTTTGCTCCCCATTAATATATTATAATTTGT